CCACACACAATTTGGCTCAGTGCATAATGGATTTGGTTCATCTGCTGCACGGTCTCGGACTCCATCTGTATTTTATGTGGTTCGCTCTCCTATGCAAAGATACGAGAGGGGATGGTTTCGAGTGTGGCATGCCGCTCGTATAATGACAAAGCAACGGCCTTCGAGGAGGCAAGAAATGTGTAGTTTATGGGAGGTCAGCGGAAAATGCATCATCATGAAATGAAATCAAGTGCATTTATTTAGCTCCAAGGAGAAGCGAGAAAAAGGCAGACTCCCATATGTGGGGGAGTTGGGTGTGTGGGAGTCGAGAGTCAAAAGAGGCGGGCCAAGATGAATGATGCAAGTTTGCTGGCCGCCACTCGCATATGTTACAGAGTCTCGGCTCGGACTTCCATTTAGTTGCAAGTTCAAAATGCACACGGAACGAGGGCCAAAATGTTTGGCCTTTTGTTGGGCATGAAGAGGGAGAGGGTTAGAATCCGGAGTGAGTATTTTTTTTTTTTACGACCCAGGCCATTGAAAGCGCCACTTTCAATGGCGAAAAAAGCTGAATAAGGCAGAGCAAAGCAGAGGACTTTATGCTTGATGGATGGACAGTTTCAAGGAAGTGAAATGTGGCTTAGGCTCTGAGCTGAAGCTGTAGCTGTAGCTGGAGCCAAAGAGGTGGGATTTTTCAATGAAGCGCAGAGGCATAAAGTAGATATTTTCACTGTAGCAAGTTGTATACACTTTCATCACATTTAAGGAAAGAAAATTTAACCATTGCAGGGCCATGAAACTGTCAAAGGAATCTGTGAAAATTAAGCATACAAATAATTGCCATAAGAAAAGAAAATAAGGCACAGTTCGGGAGCATATTTCTCGGCAAATGTAACCCAAAAGCTTAGATAGATTTCATAGTTCTCAATCTTTTGTGCAAGCAATTTGAACAGGATTTTCCCAAAAACATTTTGAACCTAAAATTCTTTGGTATTCCCCCAGAACTAGTGGCATTAGTGGCATCCAAGAGATTTCTCACGCTAAAATAAAACCCACTTTGGGTGAACATTATTCAGGATTTGTTTACGCCCAAAAACCCAGTCGGAATTCCACAGCTACGATTGGTTTGAATTGAAACTATTTGAGTTTGCTGCTCATTTTATTTTTGTCGGACATTTATCTACATTTATCGTACAGAGTCCGCCCCGGACCCCCGAAATCATCTTTCAGCAACGCAAATTGTAAACAACATTTTGGCCATTAACAAAATTAAGGCAAAAACATTTTCTTGCACATCACAGAGCTGGGAGCACATACAATGTCACGTCTGTCTCTGCTTGGAGGCGACAGAGACTAGTACATATTTTTATTTTTATTCCAGCAGGCATTTGGGGGAACATTTGGAAGAAATATGGCATGTAAATGGATAAAATCTGACTCGACGTACATGCAACAAATGCCACACATAAACATGTGGGCATCCGCCTCATGGCAAAAATAAAACAAAAGAAGGAAAAAGAGGAAAAACAAGCTGGAGGAAAACCCAGGGAAACTTTTTAGACACATGCACAGTACGAGAACGAGTGTGTACGAGGTACTTTTCGTACTCGTACTCGTACTTGTTATAAATGAAACAAATTAATTAAAAGTGTGCAACGGGTCGGCTACGGAATAAATGAAATGCGAATCAGAATGGAAAAGTTGCTGAATGCATTCCACACCACTCGTTCACGCCCCCACCCCCGCCCACGCCACTTTTGGCATTTCTCCTATTGCTGTGTGTGTGTGTGTGTGTGTGTTTGTTTTGTGTGTGCATTCTGCGCTCTCTCTCTCGGAGCAATGATAAATTATGCAGCCATCACCTTATTTAAAATGAAGATTAATTTAAGTACTGCCAAAAGTACTCTTTGTGGCAACTCCTTTTTTTTTTTTTGCTGGTTTTAGTTCTTTGAGAAATTGTTGTGCGGCGAGCCAGCAAATGGTAGAGGATCAGGCGGGGCACGGGACTGAATATGGAGTGTGGAGTGTGGATTTGGGTATGGGATTTCCGATGATGGATAAAAAGAGAATTATTTTTGTTGATGAAACTTCTGTCTGGTGGTTGAGAGGAGTGTGGGGTGGGGTGGTATCGGAAGTGAAAAAATTGGTAGATATTTCTTTGTTCCAGGAAATGAATATCTTCCCTTTACATCCACATTCTTTGTGCCAACATTTCTAGTTTTAAATCCACTGAAACTCTTTTATCTACTTGGTTTTTCCATTTAGATCTCTTATATCTGCATCTCCCATAGATCATTCATGCCGTAACTTCTCTCCACAACAACTGTCTGCACCTGCATAGGGAAGAGCCATTATCTACCCGACAGATTGTCCGAATATCTGTCAGTTTATCCGTCTACACCCACCGCCTCAATCGTTCACTCAACAACTTAACCCAATGGAAATTGAATTCTCCCATAAATACCAGGAGAAAATGCATCTCTGCCTCCAGAGCTGCAGCTGGAGGTGGAGCTGTCTGTCTATCTGTCGTCTGACAACTTGCCGCCGGCTGTGGCAGCTGCTACCGTTGCACTGCATGGATGAGCAGGAGGAGGCATGCCGCGGCCTATATAAATATGCATATGCTCCACAAACATTTGCCAAGTTATCCACCCACCCACAGAGCCGCTCCGAGGATTCCCATTCGGTCTGGGATGTACCGTGTGATGAGGGGAGGGGAGGGGAGGAGTTTGTGATGCTGCCGAAATTCATGCGAAAGCTGCTGACATTTCAGAAAATAAATGCAACGTCAGAAGTATTCCGCGTGCATGCAAATATTGCGAGTCGCGCTGTCGCGTTGGTTGTGTTTGTGTCGCCTCCAATCGCTTTGCTTTGTGTGTGGCATGGCATGGCATGGCATGGCGTGGCATGCCGTGCGATAAATATACAAATCCCAGAACGCAGAACGCAGCATCCCAGAGCTCTCTCTCTGGCGCTGGTTAGACATCCGTTTAATTGAGTCAACACGAGGGCGGGACCGGGGCCGGGATAGGGACTGCGAAGAAGTGAGGATGATGCAGGGAGATGATAAAGATGATGCTGGGATGGGACAGATGGGGGCATCAAATAAACGCCACCGCCTTCGTCGTGGGGCGTACACAGACAAAACATTAAAAACTAATTTATGGATTTGCAAAGTCAACAGCCAGAATGATTTATTTAGAAACCCAACCACGAAATATTGGAAGAATACTCACAGAACTTGGGTATCGTAGGGCACTTGCGGCGTGGCCGTCAGCTTCGCGCGAATGCAGCGCACGGTGCGCTCGTAGCAGTTGCAGCCCGTCGGACAGTAGGCAGCCTCCGCCTGGGAGGACCAGCCCGCCAGCAGGAAAAACTGGCACAGGAGCCACCACATGGCCATGGTCGAGGCGTACAGGAACCACCGAATTAAGCCACAAGCCTCTAGCGATAAAACGCGAACGTAGCGAGCGTAGAGCGGAAGTTCTTTGGGTTTTCTTATCTGGCAGCGTTTGCCTACTTGTAGTTCTTGTGGACTGCGCAAGTGCGACACTCACATATCGCGCTACGCGTTTCTATCTGCGGAATTTCAATTTCAGATATTCAGATGTCCCCGTTCTTGGAGAGTGTTCCGAGTGCCGAGTCAACTGCACGCGCCAAATGCCGACGAGCATCTGAATCGTGGCGGCACTGAAAACAGAAAATGCTGAACGGCAAATAGCCGAGTTGCATGCAGCACAGCACACGAGCGGCTTCGGCTGCTGCCGCTTCCGGATGCAGTCTGTGATAACAATTTTCCTGAGGCGAACGGAACAGCAGAAGCAGAGAGGAGGAGAGGCGGAGAGGCGGAGAGGCAGAGGCAGAGCACCGTGCCGTGCCTCGCTGAAGAGTGCTCGATATTAGTTGGGGCCACCAATCCATGTGACTGAAGCCTACACTGAGCCAAAGGAATGCACCTGGTAGAAGCACCGTGAAGGCCAGAACTGGAGTAGAAACCAGCAAAAGCACAACAAGCATACGCCACGTTGCACATGCAGCATAAAATGCTTTGCCTGCTGCTGCTGCTGCCTCATTTTTAATGCATGAGAGGGTGCTGGCATGGGGTGGGGCTCGCACACACGCTCCATTTGTTTTGCCACCAGCAAAACGCTGCAACTAGCTCGCTTAAGCGAGTTTCGGTGATAAGACGCGAAATCAAATTTAAAAGCTATCAATTTGATATTAGTTTAGGGACCTGACAAAAACCCTTTGGGGAAACCAGATGGGGGGGGGGGCCGATTGCGTTGCTTTTGGGTTGCTTTTTGGACATCAGACAGCAGACGGCAGACAGCAGACAGCAGATGCCATGCTGCAGCTCATAAAATTTCACCAGTTTTGGTGCAGATTTCATTTTGCACTGTTTGTTTTTTTTTTTTTTGCCTGCAGTTTTTTGTTAGCTGTCGAAGTTTTGAAATCAATTTGCAGATGATTTATTATGTTCGGTGTTGCATGTGGAAGGGGAGGGGCGGGGCGGGGCGGCTCTGAGCAGATGAATGTTCTGCATACGACAGCGACGGCAAATGGAAGCCACTGACGTTGATGAATGCCGCTGTGTATTGTTCTGCTGTCAGTTTTGATCAAATTTGTTTCCCGGGCATCGAATTGCAGGTGAAGTGGAAAATTTGCAAGTTATGCGGCACTTTGCTGTGCCCATTTGTTGCTGTTGCACCACGGCAGAACACGGATGGAGAGGGAGTGAGAGTGGGGGCTGTGGTAATCTGCAAATTGATTGCAGAGCTCTGGGAATCGAGATGGAAGTACCATCAGATTGCGAAGTTCCGCGGACAGAGCATATCTCTATATATTTCAGAAGTACAAAACATTCGGGATGCTTGCGCGTTCAAATTCAAAAAGTAACAGCCCACTCGACAATAAATTTAGCACTAACGCGAAGACCGTGGTAGCTCTCGCAGCAAACTCGACAGCTACCATGGTTGAGCGCTTTCCAACACTACTATCTGCAGTCAGCTGGTCCACAGCCGACTCCCTCCCCTTAATCGTGCTAGAAGCAATCAAAATAAAAATATAAACCCGCGAGAAGTTCGTGTGAAATAGATGCTCATGACGTTGCTATGTCCAAGCGAAACAATATAACCTACGTCAAGCCGCAGGAACCCAGTTTTTTGGCCAAACTGAAGGCGGAAATCGGCTACAAAGAGGGGCCCTCCGTCGACACAAAGGTAAGAATGTGCCCTCCACTCCAAAGCGCCGCCCTCATGACCCAAACCAAACGTGCCTGCTCTGTGTGCTTCTTTTGGAATAGCGCCAACGACTCGAAGACGAGGACCCAGCGGACACGGACTCTGGCGAGGAACGGCCAGAAAGGGAGGACGAACAGCCCCAGGTGGTGGTGCTGCAGGACGGTGATCTCTCAGCTGCTGAGGCACTCGAGGAGAAACGATTAGCCGCCAAAGGTATGCATACACACACACACTCTCGCAGCCATCCGGCATATATATGTACGCGCCAGCGTTTGCGTAGGTAGGATGTAGTTGTTTGTGGCAGTGTTTTTTCAGTTCCGTTGAGCGGCGGTCGTTCCACGCTTCTTTCTCATATTCCCTTCTCTCTCCCTATACTATATAGTATATATATACCATATATACTTACATACATATATACAGCCGTTTGTATATGCTACGTGCGCGCGTGTTTGTGTGTGTGTGTCTTTGCATTTTTGCAACTGAAATTGAAATTGAAAATTTAAATAAAATAGAAGAAAATATCCAAATCGCAACTGTGAAAATCGAAAAACAATCGCAGAATCGGCGCCCGTTCCACATTTTGAATTTGCTCTGGTGCGTGAGTTATTTGACAGAGAAAAAGAAAACGGTTTTCAGATGCATTCGATTGTGCTGAAAGAATTTGGCAATGGAAAATTCGATTTTTTGATGATAACTTCATCAATCCTAACCTCGAAAATGTTTCTGGCTGGGAGTTTGCTATTTGACACGCCCGCCCGCCCGTCAGGAGCTGGCGTTGCGTTGCCCTTCCACCTGGTCTGGACTAGCCTGGCGTGCCGTCATGGTTGCCGTGGCAGCACCCGTTCCCCAGTACCCGTCTCATTCCTGGCGGAGATTCGTGGCCAGCGGAGCACCCTCGCACCGACACACACTCACACACAGTTACACAAACGCCCACACGGACACGGAATACTTAGACAATGGCCAAGGCATACACACTGACATTTTCATTGGGGCGCTCCGCCAAAGCAAAGCATGTGATGAAAATCATAGTCAAAGTGGAGCGCACGATAAAGCAGCCGGCAAAGAAGTTAACAAATAACAGCGGCCCAACAACAGCTGCCGCTGCCTGCCGCTCGCTGCTTCTTGCTGCTTGTCGGTTGGTTTGTCGCTTTGTTGCCCGCCACAGTCGCTCAACAGTCTCCAACGCGTCCCATACCGTCCCGTCTCTCCACTTGGACACTGTGGCGCAGAAAATCGGGTGAAAACGTGTGAAAGAACGAACGAAGGAAGCAGGCAAAGAGGAGAGGCAATGATGAACGAAACAAGCGAGCAAAGAGTACGGCAAGTGGCTTGACGACGACGACAACGACGTGGACGTGGAGGAGGTAGTTGGTTGCTGAACGGGGAGCGTGGCGGGGGCTAGCAGTTGTCCGTTTTGTCGTTCGGGTTGCGAATCCGATGGTAGAGCACAGGGGGGAGGAGTGACAGGGCTCGCACAAGAGAAACATCTTGTGGCTCTGCAGAGCAGGGGGCGGGCACAGGATATGTAGGTTGTATGTGGCAGAGCTCTGTTGCCCCATCATTGGCATATTGCGATTTAAACCGATTTATGTGCAATTTTCTAATCTACCTTTTACCTTACCATCCCATCCCTCCCACTTGCAGAGCTTGCTGAGAAGCGTGCGGACTTGTCCCAACCCATTGTCTTCAAGCAGCGCGTAAAGCAACCCAAAGTCGAGGAGGAGGCTGATAAAACCAAGCCCAAGAAGAGCAAGAAATCCGATAAGGGAAGCAACAAATCCAAGGCCGCCGCCATCAGCAGCAGCAAATTGTCGTTTAACGAGGACGAAGAGGACAACGAAGGCGGAGAGGATTAGGCGAGTCCTTTCAGTTATCCAGTTCCAGCTTCCAGTTACTGTGCAGTTCCAGCCCCCGTCCCGCGAGTTGAGTTTGTTTCCAGTGAATGATTAGGTGAGTGGCTAGAACTGTGTGCGAAAATTCAAGGGATAAACCATGTCCCGGATCCCTAAAATTTGTATGTTTAGAGTTTCTAGAAACTGTTGATTAGAACTATAGAAAACGGCAATATTAGTTTGGTTTTCCCACTTAAATATTTAGGTTACATTTAAATTTTAATCTTTTAATCTGCAAGGCTCATTTCCATATGACACATCCCATCGTTCTCTTAATCATCAATTTTCCCCTCAAACTGTTATCCCACAAAAGATAATTAATGCACACAAATAATAAAACCTAGTTTGATCCTTCGGTTCAGCTAAAAATATTACTTCCCATCAGTTGAACATCCCATGGTTACAAATTAGAATTCAGATATATTTTATCAGAAAAGGTCACGTGTATGTATAACATAAAACGCTTGTTACCAGGGCATTATAGCGGATAGTTTGAGTCTTTAATGAACCCAGTACTACATACATACATATAAGCCATCACCGATCACGGGGGTGAGAAGCGGGTTACTTTCAAATTTTCTACTTGCATATAGACCAAATCGCACACATACTCTCATGTATGTATGTATATACATATGAATGTGTGTAGCTGTGTACGATGTACATACGTAGATATATACATATATATATATATATATAAATGTATATATATAGACATACATATGTACGCATGGGAGCGAAAGAGAGGCAACGTAATCTGAAATAAGTTGGAGGAGAAGAAGAAGCATCAGCAGCGCCAGCAAAAAGTATCGTGATTGAGTTTAAGACGCTATGTGTGCGTGCGTGTGTGTGTGTGGGGTCGGGAGAGTTTCCGTCTTGGAGCTGTAACTATTTTCCCATCAGCAATAATATCCGATATCCACATCATCACCATCATCGTACGTTTCGCGCGGGCTAATTTCAAATATCTGCACATGCAGAAAGGAGAGACACGAAACGTATAAATCTATCAACTACACCGGCGACGCGACAAGGCAATGCCGTTTCAGTTTTGTTTTGTTCATTTCGTTCGTGGCGCGCGTACAATTGTCAAATTTGTTTTCCCTCCCTGTACCGTCCATTCACATGGCCCACCAACACACTCGCACCAATTGCCATGCGCTTCACACTGCCATTCGCTATTTTAGAGCGCAAACACACTGCACTCTGCTTGTGTTTTGTGCTCTCTCTCTCCATTCAGTGCTCTCGGGCACGGCCGGCAACCGCCAAAGATGTTTATGTCAGCAGCAGCTGGGAGACAGGTCGAATGGCAGAGGAACGGCCTTAAAATACAAATTAATTAATGAAATCCATATGGCACTTGTTCAATTTTTCGCATTTAGGCGTTATCGATTTCCGATTGTTCGTCCCAGCACCGGTTGCAACCCTGTGCGCCCGGCTGTTCTATGCAACTCTGTTTTTGCTTTTTCCGCCTCACACATTTCCAGTTTGCCTTGTTTGTCGTTTTGTGTCGCGCTTTATCTCGGCGTTCTTTCCATTTTTTTTCTTCACCCCCACGAAAAGAATTTGTGTTGTTTGGAATTAAGCGTGCTAGAGCGATCCTTTTGAGAGTTGTTGCATATTAAGGAACAACGTAAGGACAACAGCAACCTGCCAACTGTGAAATGCAATGTAAATGTAAGTCCGGCTACTTGGCCACTTGGCGTGGGCGACGCCACCGCACCGTCACAACAAGATGCAGAAGCAGCAGCTGCAAAATGTTGTTGCTGCAGTGCAAAAATTAACTTTGCCCAAATATCGAATGGTTCTTTGCAACGTAGTTTTAGTTGACTAAAAATGTAGATATGTATGTACATATAACATACAAACACCCACATATAAACCCGCACACACACACACCACGCGTATATATATAAATATATATGTATGTACGCACACACTAGCGCAAAAACACGCTCCTGTACCAAAGTACTCCACCACGCCGCCAAGCCAACGAACAACCAACAACAACAACACCACAAACGTCGTCATCATCGTCTCACCCGGACCCCGGCCCGGCCGTCCATCCCCTCGCCTTGATTCACCTCCACCAGCCCTGCCCTCCCTCCCTCCTGTCCCGTCATCATCCCAGTGTCTGCGTGTCCGTATGTATCTCCACAGAAACATACATACATACGTGCATATATACCGACATACATACATGCATCCATACATACAGACAGTTGTATATATAGATTGTACATATGTATGTCTGTATATTTGTGCGCTCGCTTGTCGGTGTGTTTGTGTCTGTCGGTCTGTCTGTCTGTATGTATGTATGTATGTCAATCGTTTTGTTGGTTCTGCTCGGTAACTGTTCGTCTGTATGTTTGTATGTACATTCAGACATACCATACATACATATATGTATGTAAATATTTACTTGTATATAAGTAATAATATATCTATACATAGATATGTGCAACCATTTATGTAAATACTCCCTGCATATAACGTTTTTTTTATGTAATTTACATGCTTTCATTACATATTAAATTGTATTTTAGTTTTAATCCAATATGGCAGCCATTTTGTATCAATCCATTCTTTGAACTCCCCCTTCCCTTCGCCTACCATACCATACCATCCATCCTCGACTCCGTGTCTCCCCAATCCCCCACCCCCCTCCCAACCATAGCCATCTCTTTCCCTAACTTGGAATGGGTTTTAATTCACCTAGATTTTCAATTTTTTCGGTGATGGTTATTCTCTCTATCTCTCTCGCCTTCTCCTCTCTTTTCCCCTCCCCTCCTCTCCTCTTCCACCGCTTCCTCTCTTTCTGCAGTCTTAGCTCTTTTTATTTTTACTCTTTCTGCCGCCCGCTTTGTGCTGCTCTTTCGTTGCCTCCGATACCTTAGTTTTCTTTCATGTGCCAATTTTTCCGGTTCGTCTCAAGAAGAAGCTATTAAGTTATTGCAAATATTTCTTCCGATTTCTTTCGATCAGCAAGTGTCGAGTATAGGCGGAGTTTACCAATACTAAATTCAATTGTTTTCCTTCCTTCCAGAAACACAAGATACAGCGCCAAGATACACCCCGACTAAGGCACATTCCACACACCAGAGAACAGACAACCAATGACTGAAGTCGATGTCGTCTTGCCGGAGGGCGTGGCCGAGCCCACCACAAAGCTTGCCAGCGCATCAAGTCCGACCAGAGCCAAGGCCGACAGTGAAGAGAGCTCCACAGAGGCGGTAGAACTGGCCGACGATGAGGAGAAGGCGGAGTCGGAGCCAGAGCCAGAGCCGGAGGCTGAACCAGAGCCGGCTGACGAGGAGGCGGAGGTGTCTTCCGGTGACAAGGAGATCACAAAAGAGGATGTTGCGGAGGCCTCCCCCAAGGCGCCAGCTCCAGAGGAATTGATGGATGTGGATGAAACGGAGACCGTGACAGAGGAAGAAGATGGCGAGGACTCACAGATCACAAGCAGCAGTTCCAAGGAGCCCAAGCTGCCGGAGGGTGAGGAAGAGATGGACACAGCGGAGGAGGAGGCAACCACCAACGGAGATCATGAGCCAGAGGCTGAGGACGCTGAAGAAGATGATGTGGAGAAGATCGGCAGCACAGCAGAGAACAGCTGCGAGGCCGAAGATCCACTGGGAGCAGCCACCACACAGCCCGACACAGAGGAGGAGGAGGCATCTAGCGAAAAGAAAACAGAGCTGGCTGAGGACTTAGACGGGGAGGAGAGCAGTCAGCCAAGTGAGACGATCAAGTCAGCCAGCGAGTCAGACGATGACGAAGAGGAGGAGAGCAGCGGGGAGAAGAAAGAGACCCTCAACGGTTTTGTGGCAAGTCCACAGAGTCCCGCGGAGAAGTCCACCACACAAAAGGAAAACGGGCAGGCCAGCACAGCGGAGGCTAAGGCAGCCGCCAGCAACCACGATATGGGTGTTGTTAATCTGGATGAGGACAGCGACGAGGAAATGGAAGATATGTTAGATCTCAAGGAGCAGCCTGCTAAGCCAGCTTGCACCGAGATCGCAGTGCAGCCGCCCGTTGCCTCTAGTGGTGCTGAGTCTTCAGATGATGCTGTGCTGATACCCTCCGACTCTGATTCCGAGGCCGCAGCACCGCCGGCACCCATCAAGAAGAGTCCAGTGGCAGCTGTGGCACCCAAGCCGGCGCCACCGCCTCCGCCACCCGTGATGGATGACGATGATGACGACGACGACTGTGTGGTCATAGAGGACGATACGCCGCCAAGTATTTCGATCAGCGGGCTGGCTGGCAAGCGCAAGAGCGACCACCTGGACGACATGCACCAGCAGCCGAGCAACAAGAGGCAACGGAGTAGCACGCCTCTGGGCCTGGGCCAGCTGACCATAAAGGATGCCCGCTCGCTGATGCCACACGAAGCTTCTACGGGGTCCGTGGGACCCAGGGACTCAATCTATCCAGTGACCATAACCAATGCGGTGACTGGGGCGGCCACTAATCTCGGCGTGACGCCTCCCAAGCTGGTGCCCATGTCGGGGAACAACGCGGCCCAGTTGAATCCCCCGACCTTGTCCCTCACGGGCCTGCCCAGCATGACCAACAATGCCAATCTCCTGCCAGGACTCACAGACGACATGTTCGTCCTCGAGGCGCCTTCGTTCATTGTGCCCTACATCTACGAGAAGCCGCCCCAGGAGAACATTCGCGAGGTGATCAGGTCCATTGAGACGACGTACGCCTTGTCGCCGGAAGATCTCGCCGAGGCGGTTAAGGGCGACGAATTCGATATGATGACCGAGCAGAACAAGGAGGTCAAGCCAGCGGACCCATCCGCCGAGGGCAAGAAGAAAAAGAAGCGAGCAGATGATGAATCGTGGTCGGAGCAGTCGGAGGATGACGATGATGACGAAGACGACGACGACTCGGAGTCTGGGGTGCGCACCAAGGTGCTAATCAAGGAGGCCAACGATGATCTGACTGCCCTCAAGGGAGCCATCAAGCCAGCCGCAGCACTGGCGGCCACCGGGGGAGTGGTGCCGGCCAACAATCCGGCAAACAGCGGCAAACCCGGCCAGGAGAACTACTTTGAGAGTCCGCTCGGAAAGTTCTTCATGGACATTGGCGTGGGTCTCGTGCAGGAGTATGTCCAGGCGGATCTGTTGCGCCTCCAGAAGCGCAAAATGCGCAAATCCTTGACGCGCGATCCCAAGGACTTTGAGATGGCAATCACCGCGCTGTCGGGCAACCTGCAGGCCTCCAAGACGAAAAACGCCCCCTTCAAGTTCACGATGAAACGCTGCGAGTTCTGCAACTTCAAGTCGGAGTCGGCTCTGTCCATGGCCAACCACTACGAGACGCCGCACATGAACGGCGTCCTGTACAAATGCAATTTCTGCACCTTCGAGATCCGAAATGCCACCGAAATTGTCTACCACATGGAGGCCGTGCACAATATCAAGGCGCGTCTGATCAAGCCACTGCCCTACCATCAGTGTCCCAACTGTGGTTTCGAGGACAATGGCAAGGCCAAGCTGGCGCGCCATCAGCCGGTGTGCGCCAAGAAGTTCCGACCGGAACTGAATCTGGCGCCCCCCAACGACTGGGAGGCACCCGCCAAGATACCACGCATCAAGCCCAGGCATGGGCTTGTGGGCACAGCCACCGCATATCAGGTAGCGACATTTATTTATTTTATTTCTCTTGAATTGCGATTTAAATTGTTTTATTTGCATTCCAGGCCATGGCTGCCCAGGCAGCGGCGCAAAAGGCTGCTTTGGCCACCATTCAACAGCAGCAGGCCCAGGCTCAGGCCAGGAATCTGCAGGCAGCAGCCCTCGCCGCCCAGAATGCGGCCAAGATGCGACAACGTGCACCGCCGCCGCCTAAGCCCAATTTGGTGCGGAGTCCTCAGACGCCAGTGCGCGGAGCTGTGGCCAATACAGGACTCTCCGCAATGCCCAATAGCTATCAGCTGGCCGCAGGACAGCTTGTGCAGGTAAAGGAATAAAAACAAATCGAACACACAGGGAAGATCGTTTGCTGAATTAACGTTCTGTTTCTGCAGCAGGCATCCAAGAAGCCAATGGCAGGGCAGCCCAGCATTTCCATAACGCCATTACCTCGCCAAAGTGCGCTCGTCGGTGGTGCGTCCCCCTCGTCCAGCAAGGTGCCGCAAGCGGCAGTTGGCCTGAAGCCCGGCCAGACACCCACAGGCAACAACAAGGCTCAGTTCGTTATCTGCGAGATATGCGATGGCTACATCAAGGATCTGGAACAGCTGCGTAATCACATGCAGTGGATGCACAAAGTGAAGGTAAAGCTGAGTTTCCATATTGTGTGTGTTTCCACTTCTAACTTGAATTTTTTTGTATTGAATGTGTGTGTTGTGCGCAGATACATCCCAAGATGATCTACAACCGACCGCCACTGAATTGCCAAAAGTGTCAGTTCCGTTTCTTTACGGATCAGGGATTGGAGAGGCATTTGCTGGGCTCCCATGGCTTGGTCACGAGCTCCATGCAGGAGGCGGCCAACAAGGGCAAAGATGCCGGTCGCTGTCCCGTTTGTGGAAGGGTAAGTGTTAATCATTTGTTTTTTATTATCATTGGGGATTAGTCATAACCATTTGTGATTCCCCTTTGCCATCTGCGCAGATGTACCAATGGAAGCTGCTGAATCACGTATCGCGCGATCATCACATGACCCTGAAGCCCGCACATCTATCGTACAAGTGCACCGTGTGCACGGCCACCTTTGGGATGTACAAACAGTTCGAGACACATGTGTATACCGCCCACAGCACTGTGGCCAGAAAGGCGATGGACAGCAAGAAGAACAGTGCGCAGTCCAGCGGATCCTCCTCTGCGTCTATATCGCGTTCCCTGGGCGCTGCCAACGACTCGTTGCTGAAGCCGCTGAAGATCAACGATGAGATCACCATCATACCACAACCCGCATCGAAGCCACGCATCACAAATATGGAGAGTCATGTTATAGGTGCGTCAATATCCTTCATTCCCATATAGAGTCCGATGCTAATCTCTCCTTTCATGGCCACACAGATTAAACAGAGCGTGTTGGATCAACCAAATACCTATTCTCGCATAGTTTTCAGCATTGGCAGGCGCTTTATCATTAGGTTTAGTTTTATAAGCAGATCTGATGTGTGAACCGTGACCTCGTCCGCGTTTCCATTGCGATGTAGTGTACGGGTCACATCCATTTAGTGTGTTAAGCCGAAAGTGTATAAAAGTATAAGGAACAAGCGTTGGTAACCTTCCCTTCCCTTCCCTTAAACCGGAATAAACTAAATTAAATTATGCTACAGTTAAATCTTTCACACCAGCTAACCAGCTACAGGATACACTACACGATAAATGATAAAAGATAAATCAGATATACAAATACAGATACTATTGTAATTACGGATTACGGATTATATATGTACGTTTTGGAATGGAGTGTGCACATAAGTTGAAGTTGTAGCTACTACTAATATATAATATATATACGATGATAGACCACATACATAAATAAATACGAGTACATTTAGCTGTAGACTATATAGTATATATATTTATGCATATTTTACAAGTGAAAGTGAAAGAAAGCCGCCAGAGCGCATCGTCTGCATGATGACCATGTAAATTAGTTAAAAACTAAACTATTTATACGACAACTTCGAGTATCCAAATTGTATGTTTTGCAGAATGTATATACATTTTGAATGGACCCCCGACCCTGATCGCCCGCCCCACATCCATAATCCAAAACACCTTGACCCCACTTCATCTACTGCGTGCTCCTCGAACACACAATATTTTACTTTAGAGGAGAAAGTGAGGAGGAGGAGATGGACTGGACATGAACTCCTTGTAATTGATCTGAGAAATGAACGTTCAACCTTTTAATTTTCGTGTACAAGTTTAAACTTATATTTATACATTACTTATTATAATATTAAGATTAAAGTATATATATATATATCATCTATTAACTTTTAAGATCAATGTACTACAGTTATAAAGCAAAAACAACACAACAAAACAACTGAAAATGAGAAAATTAAAAACCTAGTTAATATAAAAGATTATACCATCTATACCATCGAGCCTCAATGCCTCAATTGTAACTAACTGAAACAAGTATGGATAAGAGACACCTGTGGATGCTGGGAGGCAATTCTGAATCCCGTTTGCGAGTGTCAGTGTATTCAGCGGCAACATCAAACTTTGCTTCCGTGGCTGAGGTGTGAGAAGTGAGTGCTTTTAGTAGTCACCTGACATGAGACGAGATACCCCTGCACCCCCTGGATAGCACCAGTCATCAGCGGACGGAATACGGATAGAGAACGCATTTACCTAGCACTAATGCGAAATTTATTTTTACTTTACAATAGAAAAGTGAAATAGAAATTCCAACCGTGTGATGGGATGTGTGACCATGGCAACTGTGTGTGTGGGTGTGTGTGATATCCTCGTCCAGTCTTTTCCATACTTGAGTGTGTTTGTGTGATGAAAGATATATGTATGGCTATGTAACTATGTAATCCTAAAGGTATATGGAAGGGCAATGCACTGCATCGCGTACTATAGTTTCAATTTGATGTTTGTGTGTCTAACTGGTGGCCTGATCCTGATCGACCACCGCCACCTCGTTGTCCTCTGCCGGGTTCACTGGCAGCGACTGGCCTATGCTGCTGCTCGGCGGGAAGAGCTGCGCTGCATGCGTCAGCTGGGCGAGGGCGTCCTTGTCCAGGATCTGGGGTTTGTCAGCGGCACTGGTGTTCGATCTGCTCAGCTGATAGAAGGCTGTATCGCTGTGGGTGATGTTCACAATGCTGCCGGTGAGTGGCAGCGTCTCGAGCAGCTCCTGGGCACTGCTGAACGCGCCAAGGTTCACAGGGGCAATGCCGGTGAGCACTTGGCCAGTGATGTTCGTCTGGATGGGCAGGGGAATGTTGCCGAGGTCAATGTGGCTCTTGTTGCTGTGCGTGTCGTAGAAGGTGAGGTCCACACGCTCCTGGCTCTCGAAACTCGTGTCGTTCTCACCCACCTCGGTGAGGATGCCGATCTCATAGACAACTGCCTTGACCACGTACCTAAGAGGGGGAGAATGTTGTAGTTAACAGCCCTTCGGGTGAAGCAAATGGAAATCTCCTGAAGCTACTTACAGATTCTTGGGCGTATCATTCACACTGGCCTGGATTTGTTCAAGGGTGTCGTTGTCGATGCCCGAGCTGATGTCCAGAACGGGTAGCGAGCAGCTGAAGGCCAACAGCATGCCGAGCACAGCGGCTCCGAGTACAGCCTGATGGATCTGCATCTTGGTGTTCGTTTTTAGGCAAATCGGGCAAAGGCGATGGCAAGCTGGTAAACGGAAACGACTGGGCGACGACTCTGCTGTCTGGCTCTTGCTCTGACTCTGGCTCTAGCTCTTGCTCTGGTTCCTCGGCTGACTTTCGCGCGTTTAAAGTTAATTAGTGAAGATCCGAGCGCTTTTATAGTCGGTTCAGTCCGACTGCCAGCGGACTGCGGAGAAGCTTCGGACGTCGGACAAGGCGCGACTCCGCGTAATTATCGACATCTGTTAATTGCCCGACAGGTTTGCCACTCCGGGGCTATGGCTACAGTTTCTAGGCAGATCAGCCACCGGACTTGGCTTCCGTTTCGCCCGAAGGCAAAGAGGGTGGCCGAAGGGGCACAGAGGCTGTTATTGTTTTTATCGCCAATCCCGGGGCCAGACTCTAATTAATTGTGCTCGTTTCGGAGCGTGTCCGAGAGGGACTGTCCCGTGTAACGAATCTCAGGGAGGGAGGGGGCTGCCTACGCAAATCTCAGCTTGGTGCAAAATCGTCGCCCACTGGGAGGCGAGTCCATCCATATCGATCAGCATGTTTACTGCTCTCGATACTGACCAAAAATAAGTCCATAAACATTGCACCTCCAATGACGCACTACCTCCAGATCGGATTGCATGTGGTCTGGGGACACGCGCCGCGACTGTCTGCCAAAGTCGCTAACATTACGCATACGACACGTCGTTCTCTGACGTAGACTGGGAAATGCGATAAAACGCGTGCACTTAATGTGAAATTTCATGAGTGAAGCCTTCACTCTGTGCTGGAAGAATCCACAAAGATGTGTCGCACAAAAACCATCATAAAGTTGTGATCAAATTGAATCTGAAATAATATACAACTCACTTCACACTATAGTTAACCGCTTAGAGCCGCCGAAAGCTCTGGCATAACCAGCCCGATCTTGACTTCCATTCAAGACTGATATCCCAGATGGATCTGGTCTGGTTCTGGTCTCCGATCTCTGATTTCTCGCTGGATCGGTCTGGCAGTACACGTTTTGCGGTTCCCACCGGCGGGCGGCAGCGTTTCCCTCAGCAAGTTTTCACCCGAGAAAGGGGGTGAACCTTTTTTGTTTCAGCGGAAAATTTTCGAAATTAATTTGCACATTTTTTTGGATATCCAGATATCCATAAATGAGCTCTGTGCCCTGGTGATCTCAGATTAGATATCATATGGAATACGATTTTATCGAATGCACTAACTATGAAGTGTTAAAGAGCCCCAAATTGTAAATGCAATTTGCCCCAAAAAAGTGGCAGAGGCACCACATTTAAGATATATCTTTAAATTCCTTGCTGCTTTCGCTGCTCTGTTTAGCATCCATTGGGGAGCCCCCAACGCGTGTCTGGATATACGCGTATGCACATATTGTACGAGTATATTGGTTATTTTTCCATTCTAGCTGAAAAATCTTGTCATTTGAGGAGTGTCAAACGCTGTTTTTATTTTTGGTTGCTTTCTTGGAATTGAGTTTTCGATTTATTTTAGTAAATATATGTTAATTGCAGCAATTAAGACAATCAACAAATGCAAATGAATGTATTTCCGAAAAATTTCTGTCCCATGCTTCAATTCTTTGAATCCTTGGTATATATTTCAACTAATTGAACCCATTCTTCTAGCCACTCTTGAAGGTTCAATATTTTACCATTAATTTGGCAGATTAAGCCGAGCATTACCCTTGAAACACGAGAATATATGTAGATCCAAGGGAATACAGAATAAGTTTAAGGAGAACTTGCAGCCGGCTGGCTAGGCATTGGGCACTGGCGAAGAATTGGATTGGAGAAACAGACACGCACAGGCAGGCACACAAAACGAGTTCGTTCAGCGATTCGCGGGAGACGCTCCAAGTGCTAACTGAGCGGAATAATAAAGCTTAGACGATCCGCAACTTTCGACGGCGAAAAACTTTAAAAACTCACCCGCTCTGCGGCTGTAAACTTATTATCGATCTGGGCTCCGAGACGAACGCAACGCAACTCTCAGACCATCAGCACCGATCATGAAGTGCACTCTTTTGTCCACAGTGAGTAGAAAGCCCCCAGATTGCAGGAGATGGAGATTGCAGGTTGGATAATCTACTTTCGCCTCTAGTTGCTGGCGACCTTGGCAGCCACGAGTCTGGCTGCCCCTTTCCAGCTGAACGACATCTTTCCCGGCTTTGTGGCCATCTCGCAGCCGCAGGAGAAGCAGGAGGTCGTCAAGCGGAATGTGGTAGCGAATCCTGATGCCGAACTCAAGCAAATCTCGTTCCATGGTTTGATTGGGGATCTGGAGGACAGTCTGTTCCAGTCCGCCCTGAGCGTGCAATCGGCCAGTGCCCCCGACAGCGAGGTGGAGGAGGTGAATCCCGGCCAGGAGGAGGCTGGTGACGAATTGGAACATGCTCTGACCAAGCGCTCGGACGAGTCCACTCCGGCATCGGACCCTGCCTCGACCGCCGATGGTCTGGCCCGCAAGATTCTGCTGCAGAATACCCGCAAGGTGCCCGCAACTGAGAATGGTGTGCCCGCACACCTGATCATCGATCATGTCTCCGTGCAGCCACAAAATGGCGGCGTTCTGCCCCTGATTCCCACCTTCCAGGTGCACCACACCAAGCTGATCTCGGCCACCATCCAAGAGGACTCGAACAACGATAGCAACGATGGCAAACAGACTAAGATCAGCATCACCAAGACAACGATCTCATCGACAGCGCCCCTCGAGAGCCTGGAGGAGGCCGTCGCCAGCTCCAGTTCCAGCTCTAGCGCAGCTCCCACTCCAACCACTGAGGGAACCACAGCAGCTGACACCCCAAAGACCACAGAGGAGGAGAAGAGCAGCAGCAGCACCACCCTCACAGAGTCTTCATCCACCACTTCTGCTGCCACCACAGAAGAGCCCATCCAAAAGCTGAAGAAGGACGAGGAGAAGCTCAAGGAGAAGGTGGCCGAGGTGGAGGCCGATCCCGTAATCCTATCGTCTCGCGTCTAGGACATTCCTGATCCCGTGGATCCATCTAGTTGTAGTCCATCTCCAGCATCCCCCTCTCATACTCACAGCTCGCACATATACATATGTATTTATGACACCCGACTCGAAGTTCAATTAAAGTCATGTGATTTGATTTGATCCGAAGATCGGCGATCGGCGAGAGATTCGCTTCTTTATTTGCATATCCAATTCACACAGAAAACTCTCGCACGCTCTACGCTTACGGTACGTGGGGATGAATGGGGATGGCGGGGGATTCTGCCAAATTTGAGACGCTAATTATTGGCTTAAACAATGATGCAGCATTGGGGAATGGAATGGGACTCCGTTCCGACTCCACAATGGAAGCAAATGAAAGCACTGAGGCATGAAGGCGTGGTGGGTTGGGCGCAGGCGAACGTTCTCAGAATCTCAGAAAGCTCTCTGCTCGGGAAAAACCTCGCGTAGATGTGCAAATAAAATGCAAATACTCGGATGGATGTGCCCGTGGATCGTGGAACTTAATTGGGTTGATTAAACATTGTGAAATTGTGGGGCGTGTACTCCCGCAGTGGGTGTTAATGGGGATGGCTAACTGAATTATAAATTACTCAAATCTGAAGTGGAACCAGCAGTATAAAATGCACCCTTCATTCAGCAATTGCGCACTCATAGAATGCAAGGGAATTCTATTATCAAATAGGTACATTCATAAACGGCATTTGTATATCAAAACACGAGCACACGAATGCTCGAGTGTTATATAAAATTTACGTGGTGATTCTTCCCCATGAGTCATCCGCGATAAAGACACCTCTATACAAAATAGGTAAAACAGGTAGTAAACACGCCTGAGGCTCTTCAAATTGATAAAGAAAACCCGAACTGCTATCCAGGGGTAGCTCTTTGAGAGCAAGAACCATTCCGCATGACCAAATGACTAACGACAAGTAGTATTTCCCCTTTTATAAGCTCTGATAGGTATTCGATCAGCTATGAGTTCCTGTCAATTCGTCTTTACTTTTATTTAGCAGGGGGCTTGGGCCTGCTGCTGTTGAATGGTGGCCAAAGCAGCCTTTTGCGCCGCTGCCTGTGCAGCCATGGCCTGGAATGGAAATAAAACCATTAAAAATTGCAATTCAAGAGAAATAAAATAAAGAAATGTCGCTCCCTGATGGGCTGATCTTCTTGTCACCGGAAGACACTTCCGCCTCCTTGGCAGCCGTCTCTGGTTCAGTCTCCGGTTCTGGCTGGTGCCTCTTTTATTTATTTACTTAGCATGGGTCATGCCATTGCGTGCCTGTATTTGCCCCGCTTTATATGTAGATCTGTATGTGCTACGAGTACAAGTAATAACATGACAAAAGATAAAGTAAACAATTTATATGGTTGCCTCACTGATAAGGCCTTCGCACGCATTCAATTTGTATTACAAAATCAGTGCGTGGCGCGGGGCTAAATATTTGCACTCTGCAATTGGGCAAGGAGTCCACAGAGACAGAAAAAGAGAGAGTCAGACAGAGTACCTCTGTCCCTGGCGGTTTGCACTGCCTGCCATTTTGATAACAGGTGTAACCCTTAAAATTTCATTAGGTTTATCTTATCATCGTCGAAGAGAGAGAGAGAGAGCCGAGCGGAGCCAAAAAGAACTCGAACCAGAGCGACACGGTGGGTGCCGTCGATGTCGATGGCCATTCAATTGAAGGCTTAGGCGGCCCGGAGCGTCGTTCAGTCCGAAGGAAGCAGCCGGCGAACGCGTATCGCCCCCAACCAGTCCACAGCAATAGAAAGAGCAGCGCGAGAACTCTATCGGTGAGGAAGATAACACTAAACGTATGGCTGGTTCTTTTCTGTAGGCTTACTCCATAGTTTATGGACATTGTTGCTGTTGCTGCGTATCAAGTGTTATTCCCCACCAGGTGATTCAGCCACCATCCCGCGATTAGGTGATTAGTTGCCGCGTTGCGTTTCCCATAACATGGAACGTGCAGAAAGGAAAAGAACACTCTGAAGAATGATTGAAAAGCATTTCCATACGCATATACCCATATGCAAAATCCCTCAGAACTAATCAACTTGATTAGATATTGATCGTGACGCACTGTATCATAATTTCTAATTGAATTTATAGCCCCAAGGTGTGTGGAGGAGTATCGATCAGAGGTTGCACAACACCAAGAGGAAGTCAGGAAACCGATTCGGATTCCACCAGGAGCATTACACACAGCAAAACAAACTCAGCCTCAAGCCCAACAAGATGGCAAGCATTGGCAATGGGTTTGCCAAGTGCTTCATACTCTTCATGGCAATCGTTATATTGGTAAGTCGCACCCGCAGATAAGTAACTGCTGCTGCTTGGGCCGCCACTGTTCACTGTTCACTTATCTTGTTGTTAACGTAACGCTCTTGTAGGTTCAGGGAGTCGTCTATCTGGGCCTGTCCATTTGGGGCATTACTTTCCGAGAGTGCCATGAGGTGGAGGATTTTAGCTCGAATCCCTTCAAGTTTGCAATGGAATTGATATACTTTTCCGGTAAGATCTCAAGATATAAGTTATATCAAGTTCCCGAATCGTAATTGAACGTCTCTTCTCCTTCCACAGAGCAGGAGTGTGGCGACCCAGATATAATGATGAACGGCCAGCATACTACGCTGGATATGGACTGGGAAAAGTCGTACGATGTGACGCATAGGGAGTACATCTTCATGATCACCTATGCGGTTGTCAGTGGCCTTTGGATAGCCACCTCCTTACTGATCATCTTCACGCTGTGCAGTCGCACTACCAAGCTCATCGCTGGAGCCGCCTACTGGCCCTGGTTCCTGGCCGTGATGGCTGGCAGCATCCTGGACGTGGTGGCCAGCGTGTATCACGGCATTGACCTCAGCCACACGATGGTAAGATCTCAATACTGCTGGGATAACACACAACAAAGATTTAACACTGAAATTATTCCTCTTGATAGTCGCTGAACGGTGCATTCGATTATATTGGAGCACAAGTCGATCAGAGCACGGAATCGGCCGTGGTCGAGGTTATCTATTCGCTGCTGGAGCCGTTCGGTGTCTACTTCTCGACGCCTTCCATTCTGCTGCTCTGCCTCAGCTGCCGCCTGGTGCTCATCTGGCTGCTGAACATCATCGGTGCCAGCTTCTGTCTGTCCATTTCTGGAATAATGGCGCGGAATAATTCCAAGGCGGCTGCTGTGACCAGGAGCCAGGCTCCAACGCGCCAGCCCACACCTCTGCCCGTGGCCGCAGCCGTGGTGGAGGCAACCGTAGTCGAGACTTTGCAGCCCGAGACTCCCCAGCAGTATCAAGTGGAGACCCAGTACCCGGAACAGATCCGCCCCAAGCCGCTGCCGATCTTTATTCCCTCGGAGCAAATGCAGCGCCAGGACTCGCAGCAGTACAGGGCCGGAGATCGTACCACTTTGCAGTCGCCAGTGATGGTCCTGCCACCGCAACAGCAACAGCAGCAGCAGCAGGAGCCCACAGCTCCACGGGAGGTGGTGTCCCCTCTGCCGGATATCAACACCTATCGCACCACCGAAGCTCATCCTGATCGCCTCAACTATCCACCTGTGGAGTCGCCACTGCCGCGGGCCCCCTCGCCAGCAGTCCAACAGCTGGCGGTTAATTCGGCCCTCAACAACCGCTACAGCGAGATGTATCCATCGCCGCCGGCCAATCCGCGAGTGAGCGAGGAGCTGCGTAATCAGATGCCCTGGTCGTACACGAGCATGGTGACAAAGCCACCGCCGCCACCACGCAAGCCCCAGCTGCAGGTCCAGATCTATCCGCAAATACCCGAGCCCGACTATGCGGAGCACTAGTCCATTTTGCAGGCAGCTGGAGCAGGAGCAGTAGCGGGGGAGCAGCTCAAAGCTGATTGCGGGTTAATCAGCCTGGATGCGAGATGGTGTTGTAGACATGTTTTGTGTTATTGTTACCTTTATTACATAAAGCTAAAGCTGATGGCCAACCGATTGACTTATCCTTGGCGCTTCTGCATCCTGCACTGTCACTGCGTTGCCTTGCAGCAGGCACTTCTTTTGGCGACTATGCTCCGCCACCAGTTTGAGGGCATCGTTTAACTCCAGCTCCATTTTCTCGCCGCCGCTCACGTGCAGTTCCAGCTTGGGGGCCTCCTGCTGCACAGCCCGAGCTCCTACCACTATCGTTAGCGGGTGGCCCAGGCGCTTGGCATCCAGTAAACGTTTGCCAATGGTCAGTTCCTTGCGATCGTCGTGCAGCAACTCCTGGGCACCGCAGATCTGTCCTATGTGCTGCAGCAGCTCGTTCTCTATAGCCTCCGCGGGCTGTTGCTCTTTGCTGCCTTGCTTCGGCCCAATCAGGCACACATCGTATGGAGCCAGGAGCTTGGGCCAGCGCAGCTCCTGTTCGGTGGACAGCACTTCCAGGGCGGAGGCGAGTACGCGTGTGATGCCAATGCCGTAGCAGCCCATTACCAGGGACTGCGGTTTGGCCGATGTGTTAAGGAACGTGGCGCCCAGTGGTTTTGAGTACTTCTCTCCGAGCAGAAAGGTGTGGGCCACCTCGACGCCACGTACTTGACTGAGCTGCGCACTACGGCAGCTTGGACAGTCTGTGGAGGCTGCTACGGTTGAGTCCAAGACCTCTGCGTTCCCAGCAAAGCCGCAGGAGCTGCATTGCAGTAGTGTGTCCTCACCCACTGGTGACACATAGTGATACTCATGGGACAAACTGCCACCCATCATTCCCGTTGCGGCACTCACTGAAAGATCGATTGTGTTACTAAATGGTATCTCATGTAATAGCGGTAGCCTATACGCACCTTTTACAAAGGGAACCTCTAGCTGCTTGAAGAGCCGGTCATAGGCTTCGCTAACCACGGAGTACGTGTGCCTGGCTGTCTCCTCTGAGACATCAAATGTGTACAAGTCCTTCATGAGGAATTCCTTGGCTCGCATCAGGCCAAAGCGTGACTTCAGCTCGTCCCTGAACTTGGGACCGATTTGGTAAAGGCGTAGCGGCAATTGGCGATAGGAAATAGGTGCTGTCGTGGCCAGCATGGCAGTCACCGCTTCCTCGTGGGTCTATGGGTGAGATTTAAGTAATGTATAAACAGAAGTAAGCCACCCCATCTTGCACTCACGCACTGGACTCATGAGAAACTGTTTGCCGCTGCGGTCTCGCACCATATAAAACTCTGATATGTCGCCTTCCAGTCGTCCTGTCTTCTTCCACAGCCCTGTGGGCGTTAAAATCGGAAGACTGATCTTTTGCCCACCAGCTCGCTGCATATTGCTGTCAACCAACTCAAATAGCTTGTCTACCGAACGCTGGGCTATGGGCATGATTTGGTAGGTGCCATTACTGCCCGACTTGACCAGGCCCAATTCGGTTAGAAGCTGAAAACAAGAGAGCTCTTGGCTGGAAATTCTTTCGTAACACATTTAAAAGTAAAAATACCTTTTGACTTCGCGACAGTTGCTCTGTTTGCTTGACGACGGCATTTTTGGGAGTGACCAGCGCTGGCCAGAAGAGTCGCGAGGCTTTATTCATGTTTTATGTTTTTATCAAGGTAATTAAACCTTGATTGGATTGTATTTTCTTTAAAATGCCGGTACAAATGCGAAATTTATATGTTGAACAGCTGTTATCATCCCCGATAACAAGGCCATCGATATCTATACACGAAAACTATCAAAACGTGACAGTGGTTGAAAATTAGTAAAGTTAGCTGTGAATAAAATATACAAATACAATAAGCGAACTAATTAAAATCAAATTCGAAAAAACCTGCTTTTGCGTCTCTGTTCAGGAGATTACATTTTTAATACTTCCCACAAACACGAGATATGCAAGTATCGCCCATCACAAACCGGCTAACGAATACCACCACTAGCAAAGGAAAGTAGTCAAAAATGTGCTCGAATTATCAGGATTTATATAAAAAGGGGCTGGATCGCGGCGAACAACAGAAGCAACGACAGCAAGAACTGTTGAAGCAACAAAAGCTGAGGCGACAACAGGGCCAAGACGAAGCCCGGCCCATAAAAAAGGCAGAAAAAACCCCGCCAAAACCACATCGCAAGCAGCCTGCCAACGACAAGGGAACGCCGTTCAGACTTCAGTTCTCCGAGTGGCTGCGACACAAGCCGGATAATCTAGGGGAGTGGCTGCTGGTCCCGTGCCCGGTCGGCAGGAGATGTATGGTCATAGCCAGCAATGGGAAGACCAAGGTTTACAACAAGGCAGGAAGGGAGTTCATGAGGCTGCGTACGTTGCTGCCCGGTGATAGTCATGTGCAAAAGTGCAGAACGGTGCTGGACTGTGTGTATGATGAAGAAACACAAACCTTTCACGTGCTGGATGCCCTTTCCTTTGGCCAGCAGTCACTTCAGGACTGCGAGGCATCCTTCCGGTTCTATTGGCTGCGGGCCCGTTTCGAGGAGAACGATTATGCACAAAAGGGGGATCGCAACGATAAGTCTTTTGTGTTGTTGAATCACTATGACTTCGAGGACGCTTCTGCGATAGAGGAAATCCTCCAAAAGTACCCTATATGGCAGGAGAATCAACCCAAACTGGATGGATTCCTGTTCTACCACAAGGAGGCCAGCTACGTGTGCGGAACAACGCCCCTGGTTTGCTGGCTTTTTTCCTACATGCTGCCGGATGTGGTGGATTTGCCAGTGAATGGCAACTATGTAGCCCCCGAGGACTACCAGCCCAGACTAGTACTTCAGTATATGGAAGAGTTCGATCAAAAGCTAAAGCAGCTGAGGAAGCAGCGGCCCAAAGAGATTGCGAAGAAATCAAAAAAGAAGAAAGGAGATGAACCCCAGACTTCTATGGAGACAAACAAGGAAGAGGAGGAGGACGGTGAGAGCGATGAATATGCCGGGCTCAAGTCTCTGCTCGACCATCAGCGCCGGCTGGAACTGGGAGAGCTGGACATGGACTGTGAAGAAACGCCGTCAGCTGTTGACTGTTGAGCGGGCGGTGGTGTGGGTTTTGGTGGTGGCTTTCCTGCGACTGCGCACTAGCAACGCGGCCCTGGGACTCAGCTTAGCTCCCGCCCAGGGAAAAAATGCAGTCAAAAGCAAAGATTTAGGTCCGCTCCTTGGGCAGTCAGCATAAAAATTAAGAAATAAACTAAAAATATGGTCATTCAGCGCAGCTGGAAAATTCCCACTGATGTGGGAGGCTCTTTAGCCAACCCAACGGCAACCGCAAACGATGTCCAGCAACGTTCTTCCCCGGCAATGCAACTGCAGGCAGTCAATTCCTCGGATGACTCCGACTGCTCCAACCAGTCCACGCACTCGATGGATACGCGCGTTGCTAGCCCCGAAGAGGGGGCAAAAAAGCAACCAGATAAAGAAAAGGCACCAGAAGCCACCACCTCACTCACATTATCCCTGCTTGCCGAGTTACCATCTACGGAAGCAGAGCCTCTGGTAAATAAAAAAGTCAAATGAATGGGAAATCGTAATAATACAAACATTTTGTGTATTTTCTCTAGAAATATGTGACCACCTCAGATATGGCAGAGACTATGCTGCAGCGAATACGCCAGCGTCTCGGCGGTTCGCAAAACATCGAAGGTGGTGGGAGTGCAGAGTCAGCCATGAGAGCTCTGGAGCTACTGCGCATCAGCGTGCAGCAATCCTTTGATTCGGAAGTCAATGAGATAATCAAACGCTACATGAATGTAGGATAATGCATGCATAATGCAGATACGAGCTGATGACTGATTATTATTTTCTTTATTTTTTGTAGAACTACTTTAAGCCCGCATTTGGAAACATCAAGGAGAACCTGGGTCAGCAGTCGGTCAATGAGGAGACGCTGCAAAAGATGTCGTCATGTGCCTTGCTGGAGAACGCCAAGGCACAGTACACGAACTTTGTGCGCCAGCACCGTCTGGGAGCCGGAGTGTCCGAGCAACATCGTCTGGCCCTGAAGCGTGTGGCTAAACCGCAAGAGAATACCATCGGCAACAAAGTGTTTGCCAACAATCTGGGCTTTGGCGCCACCAAGCCCATGCCTTGCACAGCTGCCACAGTAAATCAGATGCCGGCTCTGCAGGCAATGCAGATGTTTCCACAACAGGCACAACTTCAGACTGTTCAGCCACTGCAACAGCAGCAGCATCGCATGGTTACTCCGATATTGGGGGGAGCTTTACCCACGCCCGTGCGTCGCCAAATCTTTTGGAACACTGCCCAAATCTCGACCAGCACAAAATTTGTACTGGATGTGCAGGCTAATTTGGCGTTTGGCTTTGGCACTGATGGCAAGGAGAGATTGGCCAGCAAGCATCCGGAACTCATACGCTATCTCCCCGATGCCGAGGATCGAGAGTGGCTAGCAGCTAGAGGCATTATTCCCGCCGAGAGTACCCACTTACGTTTCCTCTTTCTCCTCCACGACGAGGTCTGCCGACTGCACCAAGCCCACGATCTGTATAAGAACAAACCCAACGTTGATCTGACCCTGATGATGACTTTCAACGTACCGGATCCGATGATACACAAGATGCGGCTCTTCTTTGTGGACCTGAACATCAAAAGCCGCGGACTAATAACCAACTCATTTATTATGACCAATCAGCCGCAGCCACAACCACAGCAGCCCACGGTGGCAAATAACAGTCATCTAAGGAACGCCCTGCTTCAAGGAGCATTGCCACAGCCGCAACCGCAGCAGCCACAGCTGCAACAACAGCAACTGACGACTGGGACGCTCCCCGTTGAGGAGTCGGTACTAAAGGAGCTGCCAGCTGCTTCGCCTACTCCATGTCTGCAAGGTCAGATTGTGGGGAGCACGACGACACCCCTCAAGGCCAAACTGGTGGCAGGTTCCACTCTGAGCTCTTCCCATGCGACACTTACCGCACTGTTGAACAATGGCGGAGCCGGAGTAGCAGGCGGAGTAGGAGGAGCACCCGCCGTCAATCCTGCTCCAAGTGCCGGGAAGCTCAGGAATTAAAACGAAAAACCACTTTTTCTTTTTGATATCCTATGAGATATTTTCATTACATATATTCCATATGAGTTATCAATAAAATAATCGTTTAGGTAGTATTAATCTCGAATGTCCTTCATTGGAGGGTCGTGTAGGAATGGGAAGGACTTGATCCGTGATAAAGAGTCCCTCAAATCAGTGATATTTTTCCAACTCATGACGTGCCACGAGTCGACGGACAGCAAGCATGTACGTGTGTAGGTGTAATACTCCAAAATATATGATTGTAAACAGATTTTGCTTGAGATTTCAGTTTACGTAAATGTGTGTGTGCCATGTATTCTCACATACTTGTGCTTGTGTGAGTTCTATAGTTTTTATCCGCTTGAACCGAATTTGGTTTTTCGTTTTGTTTTGAGGGCTGATCTAGCGACCTGAGCTGACCTGCCGCAACATAAATAAGGAATGGGCAAAGTGGGTTGGGTGGGAAATAAATACAATATATTATTTGTTTGATTTATTTGTAATTGCACATTTACATATGCATATCCCTATTTGCATATTGGTAAAGTTTATAGTACGTTCGTCAGTTGTCGCTTTGGTGTTTAGTGGTATTGGCTATGTGGTCTTGGATTCTGATTTGGAGCATTCAGGGTATTCACTTCTCGGTGTGCCAGCAGCAGCCGGCATTCTACTCTATAATGGATGAAAAAAACGGAAGCGAAAAAATTCTTTATAACCCGTAATTATCGTTTGAATTGTTATACCCGTACTCAAAACAGAGTTAAGGGGTATATTGTATTTGTGGTAAAAGTGGATGTGTGCAACGCCGAGAAGGAAACGTTTCCGACCCCATATAAAGTATATATATTCTTGATCAGCATCAATAGCCGAGTCGATATAGCCATGTCCGTCCGTCCGTCTGTCTGTCTGTCCGTCTGTCCGTCTGTCCATCTTGATGAGCGCCTAGATCTCAGAGACTATAAGAGCTAGAGAAACAAAATTTGGTTTCCCGACTTATGTGATATCACACTGCTACAATTTCGCCCCGCCCCCTTCCGCCCCAACAAAGGACGAAAATCTGTGGCAGGCACATTTTTAAAGATACGATAAAACTAAAAACGCATTATCGTAGAGAATGACCATATCTATCAGATTCTCGAATCTGAATCAGATCGGATCATAATTATAGCCAGAATGAAGAAATTAATTTTCAGTTGTTTCCCCCTGCTTCCTCCTGCCGACGACAACGCAACTCATTTTCCTTCTCGCTCGCACACTCTGCCGCGCTCAGTCCGCGAGCAACCCCTAGCGGAGGAGATGTAGAATAGAATGGTACATCTATAATGTAAAATATATATGTAAAATATACATTGTAGATGTAGATGTAGATAACAGATGTAGCAAAAACATGTAAAATGTAAAATTTTTTTTAAATTCTAAAATTCTAAAAAATCATAAGCTCAAAAATGTATATGCTGACTGAGTACGGGTATATGTAAGTAGAGTCGCGTCGCTAGAAGCGACTCACACGTTCCTTCTCGTTTCGATATAATTTCTCTCATTTTCTGACTCCACTTTCCACCGCTCAAATGGCAGAAAACCGTTAAATTCAAATATCAGATACCAGGCGAACAGAAATCAGCAAAAGGTTGCTGGTTTTTTTATTTTCTCGTTTTTTCTTGTTTCTCTTTGTATTTCGATGCTCTCTTTTTTCGATCTAATTTCTCTCATTTTCTGCCTCCACTTTCCACAGCTCAAATGGCAGAAAACCGTTAATTCAAATCTGAGATACCAGGCGCACAGAAATCAGCAGAAGGTCGCTGCTTTTTTCTAATTCTCTTTTTTTCTTGTTTCTCTTTGTATTTCGCTGCTCTCTTTTTTCGATCTACTTTTTCTCATTTTCTGCCTCCACTTTCCACTGCTCACAGGCCAGAAAACCGTTAATTCAAATCTGAGATACCAGGCGCACAGAAATCAGCAGAAGGTCGCTGCATTTTTCAAATTCTCTTTTTTTCTTGTTTCTTGTTGTATTTCGCTGCTCTCTTTTTTCGATCTACTTTTTCTCATTTTCTGCCTCCACTTTCCACAGCTCAAATGGCAGAAAACCGTTAATTCAAATCTGAGATACCAGGCGCACAGAAATCAGCAGAAGGTCGCTGCTATTTTCAAATTATCTTTTTTTCTTGTTTCTCTGTGTATTTCGTTGCTCTCTTTTTTCGATTTAATTTCTCTCATTTTCTGCCTTCACTTTCCACCTCTCACAGGGCAGAAAACCGTTAGATTCAAATCTGAGATACCAGGCGCACAGAAATCAGCAGAAGGTCGCTGCTGTTTTCAAATTCTCTTTTTTTCTGGTTTCTCTTTGTATTTCGATGCTCTCTTTTTCGATCTAATTTCTCTCATTTTCTGCCTCCACCTTCCACCGCTCTAATGGCGGAAAACCGTTAGATTCAAATCTGAGATACCAGGCGCACAGAAATCAGCAGAAGGTCGCTGCTTTTTTCAAATTATCTTTTTTTCTTGTTTCTTGTTGTATTTCGTTGCTCTCTTTTTTCGATCTACTTTTTTCATTTTCTGCCTCCACTTTCCACTGCTCACAGGCCAGAAAACCGTTAATTCAAATCTGAGATACCAGGCGCACAGAAATCAGCAGAAGGTCGCTGCTTTTTCAAATTCTCTTTTTTTCTTGTTTCTCTTTGTATTTCGTTGCTCTCTTTTTTCGATCTACTTTTTCTCATTTTCTGCCTCCACTTTCCACTGCTCACAGGCCAAAAAAACCCGTAATTCAAATCTGAGATACCAGGCGCACAGAAATCAGCAGAAGGTCGCTGCTTTTTTTTAATTGTCTTTTTTTCTTGTTTCCCTTTGTATTTCGTTGCTCTCTTTTTTCGATCTACTTTTTCTCATTTTCTGCCTCCACTTTCCACCGCTCACAGAGCAGAAAACCGTTAATTCAAATCTGAGATACCAGGCGCACAGAAATCAGCAGAAGGTCGCTGCTTTTTTCTAATTCTCTTTTTTCTTGTTTCTTTTTGTATTTCGCTGCTCTCTTTTTTCGATCTACTTTTTCTCATTTTGTGCCACCACTTTCCACCGCTCACAGAGCAGCAAACCGTTAATTCAAATCTGAGATACCAGGCGCACAGAAAGCAGCAGAAGGTCGCTACTATTTTCTAATTCTCTTTTTTTCTGGTTTCTCTTTGTATTTCGCTGCTCTCTTTTTTCGATCTACTTTTTCTCATTTTCTGCCTCCACTTTCCACCGCTCACAGGGCAGAAAACCGTTAATTCAAATCTGAGATACCAGGCGCACAGAAATCAGCAGAAGGTCGCTGCTTTTTTTTAATTCTCTTTTTTTCTTGTTTCTCTTTGTATTTCGTTGCTCTATTTTTTCTCATTTTCTGCCTATACTTTCCACTGATCACAGGCCAGAAAACCATTAATTCAAATCGGAGATACCAGGCGCACAGAAATCAGAAGAAGGTCGCTGCTTTTTTCAAATTCTCTTTTTTTCTTGTTTCTCTTTAGACTAACACAAGGTTATCATCGAAAAATAACTTTAAAAAATGAATTTTACAACACACTGTCCCAAGATATAAATCAAAGTTACTCCATATTGAAAACTATTACGCCCACAAGACATTATAGATCTATAGATGGGATTGGCACATCTTGGAAATTTATCGCTGGAAACCCCGATCATAAAGATCTAAATATGATCGTAAACAATATTAGCGACATAATCTCCAATCAAAATAAACAAATAATTATGAATACACAATTTGAAAAAAGAATTAACAATCTTACAGAACTTAACGAGAAGGAACGTGTGAGTCGCTTCTGGGGACGCGACTCTACTTATACCCGTACTCAGTCAGTATATACATTTTTGAGCTTATCATTTTTAAGAATTTTAGAAAAAAAAATAATTTTACATTTTACATTTTTTTGCTACATATGATATCTACATCTACAAATACAATGTATATTCAACATCTAACATGTAGATTGTACATGTTCCAATTAGATTCTACATCTCCTCCGCTAGGGGTTGCTCGCGCACTGAACGCGGCAGAATGTGCGAGCGAGAAGGAAAATGAGATGCGTTGTCGTTGGCGGGAGGGGGAGGGTGGAGGGGAAGCAACTGAAAATTAATTTCTTCATTCTGGCTATAATTATGATCCGATCTGATTCAGATTCGGCAATCTGGTAGATATGGGCATTCTCTACGATACTGCGTTTTTAGTTTTATCGTATCTTTAAAATTGTGCCTGCCACAGATTTTTGTCCTTTGTGGGGGCGGAAGGGGGCGGGGCGAAATTTTGAAATACACTTGTAGCAGTGTGATATCACATAAGTCTGGAAACCAAATTTGGTTTCGCTAGCTTTTATAGTCTCTGAGATCCAGGCGCTCATCGAGACGGACAGACGGACAGACGGACGGACGGACGGACGGACGGACGGACGGACAGACAGACATGGCTATAACGACTCGGCTATTGATGCTGATCAAGAATATATATACTTTATGGGGTCGGAAAATTTTCCTTCTCTGCGTTACACACATCCACTTTTACCACAAATCTAATATACCCCTTAACTCTTTTTTGAGTACGGGTATAACAATATACTTTTGAACATAACAAAAAAGGACAATTCATTCAGCAATAAAATAGCCACAAATGCAGACCCGAATAATAAAGGAAGAATTAATCAACATTAAATATGCAACTCAATGGGCAAGATTAAATAATATAAACACATTCTTTCTTAATGAAAACGAAATAAACTTAATACAAGATAACTTTAAAGAAACCCCACTAACTTCAATAGAAGAAATGCTCGAGTTTGCAGATGTTTCAATATTATATAATAATAATACATTACTTTATATAATTGAGGTTCCTAAATTAGATAAAGAAACCTACAAAAATATCATCCTTCGACCCGTTGTCCTTAATAATCTCATAGTCAATCTCCCTTTCCAAGAAATATTCACTAATGCATTTTACACCTATGGGATTCTTAAACCCTGTAAAAATTATAAAAACGTAGAAATTTGTAAAAATATCGATGTAATTAATCTAAACCACGAAAAATGTATAAAAAAATTAATAGTAGGGAAAGATTCCTCATGTAACTACAGCAACGCACATCACATCGAATCCGTTGAAGAAATAAGCTCCGACCTGCTCATCTTAAATAATTTCAACGGAACAGTAAAATGGCTAGACGGTTTTAAAATATTAAACGGCACGTACTTATTAAAGTACTGGAATGACACAATAAATATAAACGGAAACAAATTTTCAAGTCTTCACAAAACAATAGTTCAACCGGGAACTCCATTGGTACAATTAAGTCCATTGCAAGAGAAACGCATACAAATACTATCACTAAAAGCACTTGAAGAACTCCACATCAATAATATAAAATATCTCAACTCTCTTCAAGCTCAGTCCACAACTAACAGTAGCCTCATAACATTATTTACGATCGCAATAATTGTAATCATAGTATACCGTAAGTGTCGCAAACGACAAAAAGTGATCCTCAACATAAGAGGGGAAGAGTTAACACCCTAAGAGTTCAACAATCTTATTTCCAAAATAAACCAAAAGAATCCCGATTCAATGTGCACAAAATGTTTTTACACCTGCTGACCCAACTATACCGATTCTGACGAGTCCAACAATTCTGCCGCTGCCGACTATATTCTGCCAAGATCAACAATATGTTTCTTTAAGATTTTATATTCTAGATTTAATCAATTAATCAACCAATTAACTGAAAATAAAGAAAAAAATTGCACTAAAAAATTTGAATATTTTTTAAGTTTGGGTTTTTGTTTTGTTCATGTTTTTGTGAGGAATGACACAAATAACTGGCAAGACCGAAATGCTCACAAAGGGATGTTTGTATGTAAACTACTTCGAAAGGCAGAGATCAATATGTATTCCAGGAAGTTAACCTTTCGACAGCTTTTGATAATTATCCACAATTAACTTGAAGCTTCCGCACTTGATTTGAGTTCCCCGAAAACAAACTCGAATTAATAATGAGCTATTGGTTTTTGGGGTTGTTGGAGCTCTAGGGTTTGTTTTGACGAACGCAAATGAAACTGAATAATTTAGCATTGAGGAATATTTTAATTTAAAATTAATATTTAATATATAAATATTAATATTTTACTAGTCTAGCGGCAATCGGAGTTAGAATATAAATGGGCTACCATCCATCCAACGTCCAATCCGAGTGACTGCAGTCAAACATCTGTCCGGACATGTTAGGCGGCACTCGGTATCGTCCCCGATTGACGGATGGGGAGCTCGCCCCACTACCCTTGTCTGTGTCCCTCTTTCGGAAGCTCAATCACATCTCCTGGCCCCTGGAGGTGGGCGTGTCCGGCAGGACGACAAACTTGGAGCGTTTAATTTTGATCATTGGCTTTCTGATCTTTTGCGTGAACAACGAAGCGGAATTTTATTATCTGATTGTGAATCGGAACGATATATACAACTTTCTGACGGGCATGCCCACCTATCTGATACTGGTGGAGATGCAGATACGCTGCTTCCAGCTGGCCTGCCACAAGAGCCGCTTCAGGAGCCTACTGCAGCGCTTCTACAAGGATATCTACGTGCAGGAGGAGTCGGAGCCGCTGCTCTTTGCCAACATTCAACGTCAGATGCGGAGGACGAGACTAGTTTCGATTGTCTACCTGGTGGCCCTGTTCAACTTTCTGCAGGTGCCCGTCCAGAATGTCATCTACCATCGTCGCGATATGCTCTACAAGCAGGTCTATCCGTTCGACAACACGCCGCTGCATTACTTTATACCCCTGCTTGGGCTCAATTTCTGGGTGGGAGTCATCATCACCACCATGATCTTCGGAGAGCTCAATGTGCTCGGCGAGATGATGATGCACCTGAATGCCCGCTACGTTCAGCTGGGACAGGATCTGCGACGCACGACCCAGCGCTTGTTGCGGGAGGCCAACCAACTGGAGATGGCTGCCAGCTATCGCAGGTCACTGACCCACATCCTGCGCCGGAACGGTGCCCTTCATGATTTTGGCGCAGAGATCGAGAAGGACTTTAACTTTCGAGTCTTTGTGATGTTCGCCTTCAGTGCCGGCCTCCTGTGTGCCCTCAGCTTCAAGGCCTATACGGTGAGGCAGTCATTCTAACAGATTATTCTTATTCCCACTCTATTGATCTCTCCACAGAGTCCACTCGGTAATGTGGCATACATTGTGTGGTTTCTGGCCAAGTTCATGGAATTGCTATCCTTTGGCATGCTTGGCTCTATACTCTACCAAACGGTACTCTTATTTTGCTATCCCCATATAAATTTCTGCTAATCTTCTGCTTCAATCTGCTCTCTGACAGACGGATGATTTGGGCCTGATGTACTACACCGCAGGCTGGGAGCAGGTGGTCCATCAATCGAACAATCTGCAGGAGAATCTCAGGCTCATGAAGCTGGTCAATTTGGCCATTCAACTGAACTCGAGGCCGTTCTTCTTAACTGGTCTGAAGTACTTTCGTGTTAGTCTGGCGGCAGTCCTTAAGGTGGGGTTAATTCAGTTAAATTTGCAGCTATAATATTAACGAATCTAAATTTACAGATCATTCAAGGAGCCTTCTCGTACTTTACCTTTCTGAATTCGGTGCGCTGAGAAATTCCGATCAGCTGTGATCAAGGAAAACATGAAAATTTCCTTTTCATTGCCGATTTTCTTGAGGACGATGACAGTTGACACCTTTCTGACCTTACAATTAACAATCTTTCAGAAAGATTAATTCATGTTATTTATTTGTGTTATACATATCTATTTCAACTGCCGTACGGTATTCAATAGGCATTCAATTTCCATTAATTCGTGTACAGAAAACAGTTGAAACTATAAAAGCTGACACTGTGACTGCCAAATCGTACAAAAAACCAAATTGTTAACTGTTTGTTTATACGTTTTTTTTTCTCTCTTGTTCTCGCTCTCACACCGATCTAAATTTTTTTTGTTTTTTGGTCTTGAACAATGGGAAATTGACGCACTGTCCCAGTGCACGGGAACGGGCACGGGCACTGGCCAACCGTTAATAAACATATTGCTAAAAACTGAACTACGTAGAAACAAAATCATACAAAAATCTATAAATTTACACTCGCGACTGGCCTCACTTGCCACCAAAGCCTCCCATCAGGTTCCCCAGTCCACCCAAGCCGCCCGCCGCTCCTTGCTGCAGCTGCCGCATCATGTTCTGGAGTCCGCCTACGCCGCCCATCTGCTGAAGCATGCGGGGATCGATCATCTTGGCCATCTGCTGATTGAGCTTGGCCATCTGGTTGGGATTTACATTCTTGGTCATGTCACCCTGCTTGAACAGACCCTTGACGCCGCCCATTTTCTTCACGACTGCTGCAAACTTTGTGTAGTGGGCAATCAGCTCCTTGACCTCGCGCTCCAGCACTCCTGCTCCTTGGGCCACACGTATGCAGCGCGTGGGCTGCTTGCTGAAGAGCTTGGCTCCGTCACGGTTGTCCAGTTCGTTGTCGGACATACTGTCCATCATGGTCATCATTCGCTTAATGCGAGCCATCGATTCCGCCTCGCCGCCCTTGGTCATGAAGTCCTGCGAGAAGCCAGGGATCATGTTCATGATCTGCGAGAAGGGACCCATTTTCATGATATTCTGGAACTGCTCGTACATATCGCGTATTGTGAAATGGCCATGCTTGATCTTCTCGAGAAGCTCTTCGTTTCCGTCCAGTTTCAGCTCGTTGACCTGGAAAGAATTGCCATATAGTTAGGAACATGTTAAACCATTTAGAATGAGCTCATTTTATCTATCTACCTTATCTATCAGGCCCTCGATGTCGCCCATCCCGAGGAGCTTGCTAACGAAGGGTTTCGTCTTAAAGGGTTCCAGGTCGTCAATGTGCTCGCCTGTGCCTATGAAGATGATGGGCGACTGTGTGGCTGCTACAGCAGACAGGGCACCACCTCCCTTGGCATGGCCATCCAGCTTGGTGATGATCACTGAGCCAATGTCAACCTTGTCCTTGAAAGCCTTCGCCTGAGCCTCGCAAGCCTGTCCAATGGTGGCGTCCATCACGAAGATGATGTTGTCGGGATTCACGGCGTTTGCAACCGCCAACATCTCCTCGAACAGCGATTCCTCCTGCTTGTGTCGTCCGGAAGTATCCACAATGATCATCTCAAATCCCTCGCGCTTGAACATGTCCACACCCTCCTGGGCAATGACGACGGGATCGATTTCTGTATAGCTGCCGTAGAACGGAATGCGAGCCTTGGTGGCATTCTGCTTGATCTGGTCATAGGCACCAGCACGGAACGTATCCGCGCACACAAGGCACGACTTCCAGTTGCGCTTCTGGTAGTGATAGGCTAGCTTGGTGCAGGTTGTGGTCTTGCCGGATCCCTGCAGACCCACAAACATGACAATGTTCGCCTTTCCCTTGATTGGCTGATACGGCTTGACGCCCGGATCCACCAGTTTTATCAGCTCCTTGAACACGGCCGACTGGATCATGCGGCGCTTGTTCAAGCCCCCGGCCATCTCATCGAAGTCAATGACGGCTCGCACATTTTCGCGCAGCTGCTTCACCAGTCGTATGTTTACATCAGCCTCCAGCAGCGCTGCGCAAATCTCTTTCAGCATGGAATTCAGGGCCTCCTCATTGATAACTGTGGCTTTGCTCAGCGAGTGCAGAGCCGTTGTTATTTTCCTTCCTAAATCTGCTAAAACCATCTTGGCGTGTTGGCTGTGTGTCGGGGTGTGCTATTGGCAGCTTTAAAACGTAGTTGTGCTCCTTGCGAAGCAATTACATGCGAAATTTCAGGAAACTTTTACTTTTTGGTCTTTGCCTTCGTATGACACGTCGCTGTGGAAGAGGAAGCACTGGCTATTCCACTGAAAGGCGTGCACGTCGCGTTGCGTCAGTGCTGCCAACTTTTTATCAGTAAAAAAGCCGTTTCTATCTTGGAGAATTAAAAAAAAAACGTAATTTATGGGCTTAATTTGTCTAGTAACGTGATAGTTAATAGGTGCTTTTGGTCGTTTCTGCAATATTTTTAATTTTTAGGTACTCCAAAATGTCGATAAATCTTAAAACAAACCTTTCAGATATAATAAAAGTGTTAAAAAGAGCCAAATCCAGAATTCCCGCTTCCGCAATTCACAAAGGTCTTCAAAAACAGCCAGATTTGCTAGAAAAAAGAGTAAACGGCAGCACTACTAGTGACTGCTGGTCCAGGAAGAAGAAGAGCGTTGGCTCTCTGCGATTTTGAATTTGAATTTCAACTATTTGTGTCTATATTATTCTATGGGTGTAAAGGAACTTTGGACAGTATTAACTCCACATGCGGAGCGCAAGCCAATAAATGAGCTGCGCGGCAAGAAAGTGGCCATTGATTTGGCAGGCTGGGTGTGCGAAAGTCTCAATGTGGTCGACTATTTTGTGCATCCGCGGCATCATTTGAAGTTGGTTAACCTCCGCTAAAGCACTTGCAGCAATGGCTTATTTATATTATACTTTTCAGAAACCTTTTCTTTCGCACTTGCTACCTTATATGGGAGCAAGTCACTCCGGTGTTTGTTTTGGAGGGAGTGGCCCCGAAACTGAAGAGCCAAGTAATAGCCAAACGAAATGAGCTGCAGTTTCGGGGAGTCCGACCAAAGGAAGCAGCCACTGGCACGCAAACCGCAGCAAAAGCAGATAAAGGACGAACTCGCTTCAACCATGTGCTGAAACAGTGCGAGACCCTGTTGCTATCAATGGGAATCCAGTGTGTCCAAGGCCCTGGCGAAGCGGAGGCCTACGGCGCCTTCCTCAACAAGCACGGAGTAAGATTTCTGCTCCAGATCTCCATTGACTTGACTTATTCGATTCGTATTGTTAACTCTTCCAGCTGGTCGATGGCGTCATTAGTCAGGACTCTGATTGCTTTGCCTACGGAGCCATTCGGGTGTACCGTAACTTCTCAGTGTCCACTCAGGGAGCCCAGGCCGCTGCCGGTGGCGCTGTGGATATCTATGACATGCGGGAGATCACGAGCCGAATGGATTTTGGCCAGCACAAGATAATTGTAATGGCTCTGCTCTGCGGCTGTGACTACTGTCCAGACGGCATTGGAGGCATTGGCAAGGATGGTGTACTAAAACTGTTCAACAAGTACAAGGAAACGGAGATCCTTGATCGGTAAAACTACCCAAGAAGTGCAGTCAGCCAGACTCACATTGCATTCTCCTTATAGTTTGAGAAACTGGCGAGGTGAGACCGATAAATACAATGCTCTGGAGATGCGTGTGGATGACAAATCCATCTGCAGCAACTGCGGACACATTGGACGGACGCAGAGCCACACGAAGAGCGGCTGTAGTGTCTGTCGCACTCATCGGGGATGTGACGAGACCTTGTGGAAGTAAGAAACTATCCACACAAAATACTTGTCTGCAATATTTTATTTGACTTCCACGGCAGAGAACAACGACTTTCCATTAAAGCTGAGCTGACGCTGCGCAGGAAGGCTTTGCTGGCTCCAGAGTTTCCCAACGAGGAGATCATATCCGAGTTCCTCAGTGATCCACCAACGATCCCGAATTTAAATCTTGGCTGGCGGCAGCCAAATCTCGTAAAATTCATCAAGCAGATTGGGCATCTGCTGCAGTGGCCAGAAATCTACTGCTTTCAGAAGTTCTTTCCGATCCTCACCCGTTGGCAGGTGCAGCAGGCGACAAGCCCAACCAAGGCGGGAGGAGGCGTTGTGCTCGTTCAGCCGCTGGAGATCATCAAGAAGCGTACGGTGAAGGGAGTGGCCAGTCTAGAGCTGCGTTGGCAGGATCCCAGTGGCAGCTTCAAAGGCCTCATTCCGGACAAACAGATCTCAGAATTCGAACTGGAACATCCCAAGGGCGTCGAAGAGCTCTACTATACCGTGGAGCCGCTAGACATGATGGAAGCTGCGTATCCCGATTTGGTGGCATCCTTTGTCAAGTCCAAGGAAAAGCCTCCAAAGAAGGCCACGCGAAAGAAGAAAACCGATCCCCTAAGCGCCATCGAGAATATCCCAGAAACATCGAAACCGAAGCGAGTGGTCAAAAAGAAAAAGGCTCCCACGGAGCAGGCCCAGCCTTCACTGCATCAATTCCTCAGACGAGAGAGAATAGGGGGGACTCCTCCGCAACAAGAGCCACAGCAATGCTCCACACCCATCACCAAATGCTTGCCCTCCGATCTCGAAAGCGACTGCGATGCGGGAGAGTTCGACATGTCGGATATAGTCAATGGAATCATATCGAATCCGAATGCTCAGCCAGCTGTGACAAAGCACGGGGGACGACAGTTGCACTACGAGGCCTTGTCCGATGACCTGAGCATGCGTCTTGCCCAACTGAGTCTAAGCAAGGAGGAGCCACCCGCTGGTGAACACAAAAGGGATCTCTCGCTAATCGAGCACCTGCCGCAGAGCAAGCGGCTTTCACTTGACGACAGCTTTGATCTGCTGGTGAAGGGCGATCTGAAGAAGGTCTCCCACTTGATACAGCCAATCAGGACTCCTGTGGATCGCTTCAAGCATCAGCATCGCCTGAGTGAGCATGCTCCACAACCTACTGTCGAGCCGGCTGCAAATGTGAGCTACTTCTTCAATCTAAGCAGTGATAATGCCGATGCCTTTGAGCAGTTGATGAACTCCAGCCTGGGTGGGCCTCAGCAACAAGAAGAAGAGGATGAGGATGAGCAGGAGGAGGAAGAAGACCTGGTGGTAATCAGTGATTAAGTTTACAGTGTGCGATTTATTCGCTCTTCACAAAAGAAAACCTCTCAACAGCAAACTTTGAGCCTGCGCTTCTTTCTTCTAATTTTTGAGAGGGGAGGGTAATCACGACTTGAAATAAAGCTTAGCATACTGATGGGCCTTCGCCAGGGCCTGCTCCAACTGCTCTTCGAAGAGGTTGCTTACCCTGCGACCCTTCATGTTGCACACGATCTGCGGATTCTGTCCCTTGGGCGCGGCCACTTGGCCCCCAAATGCGGCGGCAAAGGATTTCAGCCAAGAGGAAGCATCGAACTCTTGGTTGACTCTATTCTGCGGCACACAGCAGCGGGCTTTCACAACGCTATCACACATACTGACCACCAGAATAGGTCGATCCGAACAGAGCTTGGTGGCACGCTGCAGCGGAATCTCTTCTACCAGAGCGGAGCTGGAGATGTAGTGCAAAATAAAGGGGTGGGTGTCCACAGGCTTCTCCTGCAGCAGGTTGCGCATCTCTACCTCGACAAATTCCCTGCAAGAGTTTGAATCTATAATCTGGATTACAGGAAAATGTCACGCTTTTGCGCTAACTTGAGGGTTGTGCGGGATGTCTCCTTGATCCTCTTCAGCATGTCATGGATGCGTTCCAGCGTGTCCATCTTGAAGGCGTATGGCAACTTGATGTCCGTGTGCAACATATTATGGCGGATGGTTTGCAACTCCACTTCGGTGGCATTTGTGAGCTTATCAGGCTGGAGCTGCTGTTCGAGGAGATCCACGCGATGGCGCAGCAACGCTGCTGTCTTGAGCACCTAAAGTGGATACGATACAGAAGGATGCTTAGAGGAGGGTGTACACGGCATAAGCTGAAGGCCACCTACATTCTCCGCCGCCTGGCCAGCCACAGCGGTGAAGGCAAAGCGCGCCCTGTTCGTCTGCTTTAGATTGACAATACAGAAGCAGGAGAGCTCGCTGGTGTTGGTCACATGAGTGCCACAGCACAGCTCCTTGGAGCTGAGTTGCATCTCCGGGCACTGTACATTGATCAGACGTAGTCCCTGCTCCGGGTAGACCTCCCCAGGCACCATCGTAATATCATTCTGCTGGAGAACATCGGCTGCACTCAGCAGCTCAACTTGGACGGGCGTGCCAGCGCAGATAATCCGACTGTAAGAAAGGATTTCAAGATGAAAATACAGCCAAGAGCGAATCTAGTTGGAGTCCATTTACTTGATCAGATCTTCGATGAGCTGGACATCTGATTTTTGTATCCGCTTGCCCAGCAGTCCAAGTTCCAGTTTGCACTGCTCGCTGCTGACGGAGCTAGAGACCTGGTAGGTGACCTTGTTGAACAGCGACCGGATGGCGGCATTCAGCAGATGAGTGGCTGTGTGATGGCAAGTGCTCAGTTGTCTTGTCCTGGCATCGACTTGCAGCTCAACCTCATCTCCGATGGCCACCTCAAAGTCATCTGTGGGGGCGTCCAAGCGGCAGACATGAACCACGCAATCATTGAGTTTCTTCACACGGATCACATTCAACAGGTGGGGAGGTTGCTCTGGCTTGTGCGTGCTGTTGACAATAATCTGGCCAGCATCGGACTGTTGTCCGCCAGATTCGTAGTAAAAATTGCTGGCGGCGGTGACAATGGAAAGGGTATCGGAGGTGTCTTGAAGCCGGCTGCCTTGCGTGCGCGATACTTCCGCATCGTTGAGGAGTATGCCAAGCACTCGACTGCGTAGGGTGGGAATCCGGTAGGATTCATTCTCGCTATCAAAGGAGTAGACATATTTGTGACTATTGTCGGTGGCCGCTAGCCGCTTTGTGAGCGTCGCCTGAGCCTCGGTAATGCGTTGTTCCAGCGCCACATCGCAGATGCCTCCGTCCTCGCGTTGACTCTCCTTGGACTTGATCTTGGCCAGCGAAACCTCCGCCCGATAGCGGTCCAAATCACAGTTCATGTTCTCCAGCTCGGCCAGCTTGAGGAAGCTCTCTTCGGTCAGGCCATAGGTGTCCGTCAGCTTGTAGAGGAAGTCGCCGGGTATCGTGTTGTTGGGGAACTTGCACCGCTGCACCTGGAACTCCCGATAGGCGGGCACAAATCCCGGGCATTCCATCAGGTCAATGTCGTCCAAGTTGGGGAACTCGGTCAGGACCTCGGCAAAGGCTTTCGAGGAGCTCTCACGCAGATTCCTGTACACATCGTGCTCGTGATTGATCAGATCGATGACTGCCCCCTGCTTGGCGGACATCTCCGGGTAGGCTTCACCCAGCGTCTCCACCACAATGGGAATCAATTGGGCGAGCAGCTTCTCATGGGCAAAAACATGCTCCGAGATGTTGAGGGCCTTCCGCAAGACGCGACGAAGTTTCTGGCTGCGAATGGGTTTGGATTAGTGGCAGAATCAGGCGTTGTGGAGCGGGGGAACTTACTTCTGATCTGGCAGCATGCCGTCGGCAAGACAGGCGGTGACCATGCGTGCATGATCGGCAAGTATTCTGTAGCTTGTGTCCAGAAGAGCTGCATTTGAGGTTTCTGGAAAGCTGCCGCCATAGACAGGGGCCTTGGACAGCTGCTGGATGCCATCGAAGAGCGGGGTGAACAGATCCGTATCGTAGTTTGAGGATTTGCTCTGCAGAGTGGCAGCCAAACGCTCAAACCCCATGCCCGTGTCCACATGGTGAGCGGGCAGCTGGGAGATGCTGCCATCGGGATTGCTATACACCAAAAAACAAAGCATCTCGATTAAAGACTAAAAATGAGATTCTGCTTCTGTCCTCACCGATTGTACTGTATGAAGACGAGATTCCACAGCTCTGTGAGATCCGAGCGACCGGCATTTACGAGCTTGCCACGCTCTTCCACGCTGCCCAGCTCTGGACGATGGTCTATGTGTATCTCAGTGCAGGGGCCGCAGGGTCCCGTGGCACCCATTTCCCAGAAGTTGTCGTTGCACCCAAAGGGCAGAATACGCGAGGCGGGAAAGCTGAAAGAACATACGCAGTTAAAGAGGTGGTCACACCCTGGGATTATGTAACAGGTCGTACCCAAGGCTGCGCCATATCTCAAAGCATTCCATGTCCGCGGGTATGCCAAGGCGCTCGTCGCCAGCGAAGTATGTAACATACAGACGTCCAGGATCAATGTTGTACGGCCCACGGAGCAGCTCTAGAGCCATAGCACAGGCCTCTCGCTGGATAGGTAATTTTCCAAGAGAATTAGGGGAAATCTCGCAGTTGAAGCGAACAGCAACATACCTTGAAGTAGTTCCCAAAGGACCAGTTGCCCAGCATCTCAAAGAACGTGTGGTGGTAGCCATCCTGACCAACCACCGACAGATCGTTGTGCTTTCCTCCAACTCTCACACATTTCTGGGCATTCACCACCCGCTTGTGGGGCGCCTCCGCCGTGCCAAGGAACACAGACTTGAACTTAAAACCGAAAGCAATAATCAGATAACAATGGACCATTAGGTCGCTGGGCCGCCATGCTCACCTGATTCATGCCAGCGTTGACAAACGCCACCGTCGGATCACAGAAGGGCACCACGGGGCTGGAGCGCACGAACTTGTGCTCATGGTTGACGGTGAAGAAGTCTATGAATGTTTTTCGAATCTCGCGCGCCGTCAGCACACGCTGCAACTGCTTGGCAGAGTTGTACATGCCCAAATTGTATTGGAATTCGAGTTAATTACATACGACCGGCAATTAAAACGGAATCACATAAATCTCTGCCCGAACAGCTGATCCGCAACGGCCATTCGGTCTGTAGCGTGCACAAATAGATTGCCGTTCGCATGGCCTCAATGCTGCCGATTCCGCTTTTTTCCCGTAAAATCTGGCTGTTTTTGTAACCCAACTGACTTTGGCTTTTTCCGCTATTTTTATATGTTGGCAGGTTTGTTTTAAAATTTAAGTTTAAGATAATGGATACTCTAAATACTCTAAAAACACTAAATTACGCGTTTTTTTAAATTAAAAATTGTTTTTTCTGGAATTTTCCAGCTTTTTTTTGTCTCTTGTCCAACTTAGAAACGGCTATTTTCCTGATGAAAAGCTGGCAGCACTTGTTCTATTTTTTACGGGGCGCAACAGCTGAACGCACGTAGATTTTTGGCTGAAACGGAGGGCGAAAAGCAAATAGGAGCAACGACAGTGGATACCTGATGTGACAGAGGCTATAAATATCACTGAAAGTAATGAAATCCGATTTCGATCGGTGCATTAGAGGTAAACTTGCCCCGGACCGTGTGAACTTTGACACGCACAATGCTTCCGCTTTCACTTTCTCTCTGTTGTAGCATAACCAAAAACGGCGAAACAACGCATTTCCCACCTTGGCCAAGTGCAAACCCCAGCAACCAGGCAGGAGAAACAAACGTCAACGAAATCGAATTATGGCCACCAAACGGCGACCGCTGCGTCCAAACATTGGCGCCGCTTCGGGTTCTGGATCGAACATGAACTTTCGACCTGGGGGTCCGGATATAACTCGATCCGAGGCTCGGGGCACCAGACCTACAGCAGCCCCCACCAGTATCAGAGAGATTCTTGTCATGGGAGTAATACATTTGTGTAAAAAAACGATATTCTTCAACACGGACCTGAAAGTGGCCCTCTACCTGGGCAGCCTGTTCGTGATATCGGTCATTGGGGACTTTGTCCCCTTTCCAAAGACCTACTTCGCGCGCTCGGACAATTTGTTCAACACGTACTTCGTGAAGATAGGCTGGGGCTGGACTCTGCTCTTCGTGGTGCCCTTCCTAGTGTTGTCTGCCTATACGATCACCTGTGGCGATCACAAGCGGATGCTGCGCCATCACTTCCCTCGCATTGTCATAGCCACGTTCTTTTGGTTCTTCTGGACGAAGCTCTTCAACATTGTGGAAAATTCGTACGGTCGCTGCACGGTCAAAGGTTAGTATCCAAATATCGGTATCAGGATATCGGCGGTTAACGAGACCTTTCTTTGGAAATTAGGCTTCCAGAGCAAGTCGAGCTGCCTGAAGGCCGGCCATCTGTGGCATGGCTTCGACATATCCGGCCATGCGTTCATCCTGATCCACTCTAGTCTGGTGCTCATCGAGGAGGCGCGTCCCATCATCAAGTGGGAGACCATCAAGGAGCACATCCGCAACGAGCTGCACAATCGCAGCGTCTCCGAGAATGCGGGCACCAATCCCCTTCGAGGACTGAACGACGAGCAGATGCGAAGCCTGCAGTTCCTCTACAAACGCCTAACGCCCATCATCCGCACCCTGTTTATCGGCATGGCCGCTCTGCAGCTGCTCTGGGACATAATGCTGGTGGGAACGATGCTCTACTACCACCGCATGATCGAGAAGGTCATCAGCGGCATCATCGCCATCCTGACCTGGTACTTCACATATCGCTTTTGGTATCCCACGCGCGGTCTCTTGCCAGAGGAGCCCGGCAACGGCACCTTCTACTACCAGAGGGAGACTTATGGCTTTCCTTTCAAGCGTCCCTCGCATTTATCCAGTGGGACCGCCGCCAGTGGCGCCTCTGGCCCCACGAGAGCTAATCACAATGGCAAAGTGGGAGCGACGAATGTGCCCAAGGATCAGCAAGTGCCAACATTCATGGGCATGCCGCTGTTCACCAGCCCGAAGGTGGCCACCGCCGCAGCGAGCTTGCTGCAATCGGCACAGCAGAAGCGAGAGCGAGAGCAGCAGCAGCAGCTGGGTGCAGAGAGCTGAGCCCCAAGGCAGATACTCGTCCTCGGGGGGCGTAAGCAAGCGTAGCAGGAATTGACAATTAGGTGACGGATTGGAATTAATACCAAATGTTTTTTATATTCAAAGTTAATTATTGATGTAAATTATGATATTTTAGCAGCTAGACACTGGCTGGCACATGGTTCATCCATCTTCTCTTTTCTTCATCCTCCCATACCCCTGCATCTGCATCAGCATCAGCAACAGCCATCTGGTTGCCCACGTAGTAGCTTTAAGCGTTAAGCGTTCTTATGTTCGTGCGTTTATATGTGACCAACTTTAACAGTAAAAGGATTTGTTAACAAACTTAACAGACTTAACAGACCCTTCACTTGTGAGCAAAGGCTGCGAACATGGCCATACCCAGGAAGCCGGCTCCAGCGCCCAGCTTGTAGTTGCCCGGCGTCTTCGCCCACATCTCCTTGAGGATCTCGAAATTGCTGGGCTGCAGCTTGTGGTAGGACTGGCGCTGCTTGAAGCGCAGAAAGTATCCCTCCACCAGGGGAAGCTTACCGAAGGACCAGTAGTAGTTCTCGAATCCCAGCTGGTACAGGCGATGCAGGAGCAGTCCGAAGCTGATGTCTGCCAGAGTTACCTCGTCCCCGGTCAGCCACTCGTTGCGTGGCGCCTTCTGGGACAGCTCCTGCTCCACATAGAGGAGCACATGGCGCACTGCATCGAGCACACGCTGAAAATCGTCACGGCAGGAGACCAGATCCTTGCGACGGATCTGAATGTCCAGCTTTTGCTTCAGCGCCGACTTGTTGGACTCCAGCTCATCCACGGAGCGGCGGAGCAGGGCTAGGACCTTGTCATTATTCTCTAAAAAAGACGAACGGATGGGGAGAATTATTGGACATGGCTAGAATCTAAACAACCTGGTGGGCTACTCACTCAGGCAGGATTGGCGCACTGGCCCAATGAAGGGCGCCTTGGGCACTAGCTTCAGATCGTCGTGAATGAAGGAGCCAAGACTCAGAGCTCCCACTGGCACACGTCCCACGGCATTCTCATAGAGCATTACCTGGTCGTACTGTGCGGAACTCTGCTCGGGCTTCAGCCCCGGATGATTTGCTGGAAAGGAAATTTTAAATCTATTCCGCACATATACTCTTTAGTTCTGGTTACCTCCTCGGAACTTGCTCTCCACATAGTTGATGATGTGCGTCGAGTTGGGTATGATGAAGGCTCCATCCTGGAGCACTGGCACATCGCCCTTGGGATTGAGGTTTAGGAACCAACTGGAATACTGCTCGCCGTTGCACAAGTCCACCACATAGGGAGTGAAGTCAATGTTTTTCTCGTACAGAACCAGAAGAACCTGCAAACGAAACGGGAAGTGGAAAGAGAACATTTATCGTATCGTATTGCACTGGCCGTCGTTCGGAAGTTTTTGTTTATTTTCCAGTTAATCTATTTATATTTTCTCTTCATTAACACCTGCAGGGAGGACAGGTAAACAAAGTATAAATCAAATCAATTCCATGGTGTCATAATTCAGATTTCTGAAAACTTTGCTACGACTCCAATAATCCAACAAGCCAATCTGCCCCCGTCAAGCTCCATTGCATTCGACACTGAACAGAGTTCCCCTCATGGTATAGTGGGTGGGAACCTTGGCGACCCGGGGGGATCACAGTGTGCGGTCATTACAGTGTAAATAGCATCGGGCAGAGCAAACAGTGAGTGATCAGTACAAATGATGACGACAACTGCGACTCCGATGATGATTAGTTTTGTAATTTCGCGCCATTGGATGACGAATAATTTGTCGAAAATCACATGATTAACATCAGCCACTAACTTTTTGTGAATAGAAGTTGTAGGGATGGAAGTAGAGCACGAGCTTGTTGTCCGCAAACACGGGAGCCTTGAAGTCCTGCAGAATGGGTGTGGCTGCTGCTGTCTCAATTTCCTTCGCCGGATCGCCCATTTTTCGAGATAAAATATCGTTCTCAGTAGTAGTAGCTCGCGTTGGTTAAATGTACTAAAATGTTATGCTAGCCCAAAAGGTTTTTCTTTTATCACATGCCTCGCCGACGTTTGCGAACACGAAAGCCGTTACCGCGTGCCGGAGACGTTCGGAACCAGACGGGACTATGTGAAGAAAACCGTTTGCACACGAGAACCGACTCTGGGCAACTGTCGGCATCGGCACGGCATGCCAGTGCTAGGGCACACATCTAGAGTTGGAGCGTGTGGCTGAAGCTGCTCCGATGGCTTATTAATTCGCACTTTTGGCTGGGAATGAATGCTATGGCATTGGAACTTCGGGCCGAGCCGAAATGGAGTACTATGTCAAGCGATTCTCACTCGCTTTCATTTTGCGGTTGCTACTCGTGTTTGCTTGCCATCATTATTTATCTTTGTTTATATGGGCATTACGAAACGGAACGTTTATCTTCCGCTGGGGGAGATTTTCTTTTCCAAATTTCTTATCTACCGCTGACTGAGATGACTGTCTGGGGAATGGAGGGGAATTGGGCTATTCTTGGCGCATGATTGACCAGATGATGACCAATCAATTTACAGCTTAATATTATACTGGATACTGCTTATCCACCCACTATTTAGTCATAAGCCAATATTAGATTTAAGCCTCTCCTCTGTGCAAGCTTTCAGTATTTCAAAAAGAGGCGCCATTTGCAGCAAGAGCTTTTGGTTTCACTGTGTGAATGGCAAATCCGAAAAGAATAAGAATGAGAATCCAACTACAGTTTACAGTTGATACTGATATAGGAAAAATCAATTGTTAAGCAAAACATATCTCAAGCTATAAATCGAATCTCGTCTCCTCAATATGCTTCATCTCGGCAAGCAGTTGATTGGCAGGGCGCCAAAGCTCCCAATGAGTGCCGGCGGCACCGCCGTGACTGGGGCTGGAGTCCAAAGTGTCACTAGAAATCTTAATCAGAGCAACAACAAACCCGATCAAAAGCTTGTTGGCCATAATCTTACCCATAAGCGCTTGTCCAGCACCAGTCAAAGTTCAAGCGTCCACCAAATGAAGCGTTTAGCAGGGAAAGTTGCCGTGGTCACCGCCTCCACCGATGGGTGAGCGAAGAATTCTGTAGATTGTAGCTCCCTCTTGCCACTTTGGATATCTAATTGAATGATTCGATGCTTTTGTAGTATTGGCTTTGCTATTGCCAAACGGCTAGCCGAGGATGGTGCCGCCGTGGTGATCAGCAGTCGCAAGCAAAAGAACGTGGACAGTGCCCTGGCGGAGCTGCGCAAATTGAATCTGAATGTCCACGGCCTGAAATGTCACGTGGGCGAGCCCCAGGATCGCAAACAGCTCTTCGATGAGACCATCAGCAAGTACGGCAAGCTCAATATATTGATTAGTAATGCTGCAACAAACCCCGCCGTCGGTGGAGTCTTGGACTGCGATGAGAAGGTCTGGGACAAGATCTTCGATGTTAATGTGAAGAGCTCGTATCTGCTGGCCAAGGAGGCGCTGCCATATCTGCGGCAGGAGAAGGGCTCCAGCATTGTCTTTGTCTCCTCCATTGCGGGTTACGATGCCTTTGAGGTTAGTGTGACTGAACCAGTCCATGGGGTCAGTGGCTTATCTCGGCCTTCTTATCGTTGCAGCTGCTCGGTGCCTACTCTGTCAGCAAGACGGCTCTCATCGGCCTCACCAAGGCTGCCGCTAAAGATCTGGCGCCCGAGGGCATTCGCGTAAATTGCCTGGCCCCGGGCATTATCAAGACAAAGTTCTCCAAATCCCTATACGAAGATGAGTCGGCGAACGAGGCGGCCCTCATGAAGATTCCGATGGGTCGTCTGGGCACCAGCGAGGAGATGGCTGGCGTGGTCTCGTTCCTGGTGAGCGAGGATGCAGGCTACATTACGGGCGAAGCCATCGTGGCCGGAGGTGGTATGACTGCCCGTCTTTAAGCGATGTACATAAATATATTTTCTTAGAGGCTATGGATAACAGGCGTGCACACAATAATACACAAAAATACAAATAGTGATGCAGTTTGGTGGTTCGGTGTCTATGAGGATCGCAGCTTGGCCAGCTGGTCGGCAATGTCCTTCTCGGTGCGCTTGCCACTCGTCTCGAAATCTGCGCTGCCAGTGGCTGGAATATTGGACATCTTGCCAGAGACTTCAATGCCGATCTCATCCAGAACCTTGTTCACCACGGCATTAGACTCTTCCTCGTCACCCGACTCCTCCAGCATGTCGTCCAGTGTGTCGTTGATCATCTCATCCGTCATTTCCATTTTCATGTTGGCCGCCTGGAAGTCGCGCACTGTTCCCGCAATCGCCTCGGGTCGCATCACCTTGTTCATATCCGCCATTGTCTTGGCCGTGGTTCCCATTGCCTCGCCCAGCGCTATGTTCGCACCCATATTCTTGTTCTGGAAGCCAATGGATTGGATCTTTCCAGCCGCCGCGTAGCTGCGCGACTTCTGCTTCCGTATCTCCACCAGCTGCTTGGCCAAAATGCGACAGGCGTCGTTATTCCCAGCGGCTGCGTTGCGCCTGATGTCAGCCTCCAGTTTTTTCTCCTCCTCCTCCATTTTGCGTCGCTCGCGCTCAATATCGCGCGTGGCTTTCTTCAAGGATCGGTCATTCTCCCGCTGCTGCTCCTTGACTGTGGGTTTCTTGCCGAATATGTTGTTGAACATTTTTTGAATTTAGACTAATTGCAGATTGCGACGTTCAAATGCTTCGCTTCCTTTTTTCCTATGAATCACGCAGAAGTTTGCGAATCGAATCGAAGTAAACATTGCAGTAAATGAGATCAGCTGGCAAGTGGGTGCAGTGCTGCCAACTTTTCTTCAGGAAAAAAGCCAGATTTTACGGGAAAAAGCGGACTTCGCAGCACTGTCGCTTGCAGATTTATTCTTTTTGTCAAACAAAATGGATAAAGAAATTATAAAACAAGGTGCCGAGGCGCGCCTCTACCTCGGCGAATACGAGGGCGAAACTTGCTTGATTAAGGAACGCTTCGTCAAGAAGTACCGCCACCCAGAACTGGACAAACAAATCACGCGACGTCGCATGAAGGCAGAGATGAAGACGGCGGCACGTTGTCTGGCCGCTGGCGTTCTGGTGCCAAAAGTACTTCACCTGGACTACCCCGCACACACCTTGTACATAGAATACTATGCCAATGCCAAGACAGCCAAGGAGTTCATCCAGGAAACTGTTGCCACCAAGGAGGCGGGCGAGGCGAAGAAGATTCTGCTGGATCTCTGCTGGCGAATCGGCGTAATCGTTGGCAGAATGCATATTGACCACATCATACACGGCGATCTGACCACATCGAACATACTAATCGATCCCCAGGAGAACAAGTACGACATCGTGTTCATTGATTTCGGTTTGAGCCACTACGACAAGGGCGCCGAGCGCAAGGGCGTGGATCTGTATGTGCTGGAGCGGGCGCTGCTGAGCACACACAGCGAGCAGCCCTACCTCTTCGACCACATCCTGGACGGCTACCGCATGCAGTACGGCAGGGAGGGCGACGTCGTGCTAGACAAGTTCGAGGAGGTGCGAGCCCGCGGACGCAAGCGAACGATGATTGGCTAACAAAAATAATCTTTAATAAAACTTAAATCGTAAACCTATTCTATCCTCCTGAGGGACTCTCTGGGCGGATCATCCTGCAGCTCATCGATCTTGATTTTTTTAATATATTTCCTCAGCTTTGTTTTGCGTTTGACCTGCTCGTGCTTGAGTGGTTCCAGACCATCCACGGATGCCTCCTTGTACTTGGCATAGGGGCGCACCTTTATCTTGGCAATGGCATCCTCCAGCTGAAGGCCAGTCAGGCCCTGCTCTTCGTAGTACAGGCGGTACTTATCACAGAATTTCGAGTGTCCCTTCTTGAAGTTGGGCGTTTTGGTCGAAGGGTGCTGTGGGTGGAAATGTCAAACAGTTTAGTAAATTTCCCAGCGAGCTCGAACTACCATGTCCTCGAACACTCACCCTGGCGTCGATAGCACGGGCGCATCCTCTGTGAAAGTTGTGCAGATGCCGGAGGAACGGCTCGTTCGGCTTGACGCCTTCTTCCAGGCTCAGTTGCATGATTTCATTGATGTAGCCGAAGGACTTTTGGGCGCAGCCCTGCCGCAACATGGCCCCCAGTATGGGCATGTTCATCTTGATGCCTGCCTCCTGCATTTGCAGCAACAGTTCCCTGGCTTCATCCTGGGTTCGGCAGCCAAGGGCCAGCACGCCATAGGTGACGATATCCGGATGCAATCCTGCCGTGCGTATCATGGAGAGAACCTCGCGGGCACTGTCGTAGTCAAAGCGCATCGAGCGCTTCTTGATCAGTATATTGAAGAAGTCAATGTCTGCCTTGAGTCCAATCTTGCGCACGAATGTGAGCAGCTGCTTCTCAGCCGAATTGGTGGGCGGGACCACCTCCAGCATGGTGGTGAAGGTCTGTATATTGGGGGTGATCTTGTGCTGTTTCATGTGCTCCAGAAATCCCGTGATGCCGCCCAGCAAGAGGAAACGCTCATGGGGACGCGTCACCTCCTCCAGGGCCACCAGACTGCCCAGGTGTGGGCGCGGCAGCAGCAGATTGGGCAGTTCCAGCTCACTAGCAGTCGTCGCCACTTCGATGTGGTCAGCCAACGACGAGGCGCTCGATGATTCCATGGCTAAATCTTCCTGTTCTCCCGCCACCAGCTGGGGAGCTGCCTCCTGTTTGGTTGCTCTTGGTGCGATCTGGTCTAGAACCTCCCGCATGGACTCCAAAGTGCCAAAGCCACAGTCCCGTGCACAGCGGAGCATAACATTGAAGCTGTAGTAGTCCGGGCTGATGCCTGTCCGCAACATTTTGTGCCACGTGAGGAGAGCGTGCCGAAAGCCGTGCTCCGGATTGCTGGCACACGCCTGCAGCAGGAAGTTGAACGTCTCTGCATTCATGTCCAGCTTGCGCTCCACCATCTCATCCGCCAGCAGGTAGGCTGTGTCCACATCTCCGCACCTTCCATAGGCCTTGATCATGGCGTTGTAATTTTTCGCATTTGGCTCGTAGCCCTTCTCCAGCATATTCTCCCGCAGGATCTGAGCCTTGGCCAGTCCATCGCTGATGGATGGCGCATTGGCACACGCATTGAAGAGCGAGGTATAGGTTCCGCCCGAAACGTTCAGGCCGCGCTGTCGCATCTTCGTGTACAGGGAGAACGCCTTGCGGGTGTAGCCGGCCTTGGCGCAGCCGCTGATCAGCAGATTGTATATGTACTTCTCTGGCTTGACGCGATCCTCTCGCAGCATACGCTGCTCCAGCACGGCAATGGCATCGTTCAGCCGGCCTGCGTTCAAATGCTCCTTGATAAGATGCGCGTATTCCTTCGTTTGCAGTTTCTTCGAATGTCGCGTGGGTTTGCTTATGTATTCCTCCTCTTCCACGTCGCCGGGATCTTCGGATTGACTAGCACTAGTCTTGGCATCGCCAAAGGTATCCGGATCCCCGTACTCTAGTACATTTCTCGGTTTCTTTTCCTTCCTTTTTTCCACCGTCTTGAATTTCTTGACCTGCTTTGGAGCATCCGCATCACCTTCCACATACGATTCATCTTGGAATGAATTGTCTTGCCTATTGGCCTCACGCTTAGCTTGCAGACCGGCTTCCTGATCCGTAATACGCACGTGCAGCAGCCGGCTTTGATCCAACCTCCATGAGCGCAGTGGAATCGACTGGAGCCGGCTGTTATAGCTATTTAAAGAGCTTCTTGCGGTGTTCAATTGCAAGCGGCGCATATGCCCGGCCAGTGTTTGGCTAAGCAATCGCAGAGCCATAATTTCTGTTCAAATTTTCAGTGATTTTTATGTAATTTATCAAACTATTCAAACGTGCGGTGCCGCGGAGGACTAAATACAGAAACAGCTGCTACATAGCAGAGTTGTCACCTTATTTCACCTGCCATTCATATACAGTGCTGCCAACTTGTCATAAGGAAAAAAAGCCGTTTCTAGCTTGGACAAGAGACAAAAAAAAGCTGAACAATTCCAGGGAAATATCTTTAATAATAAGCGTAGTTTATGAGTTTACTAATTTAGTTTTTTTCAAAGTATTAGCTCCATAAACTGATTTCTTTAATTGCTAAACTGCTAAATGTCTAAAAAATCGAGAATTCCCGTTTCCCGAAATTCCTAAAAGGTCTTCAAAAACAGCCAGATTTGACGGGAAAAAAACAGAATCAGCAGCACTGCCCACCCGTCACATTCCCCATTTTTCTGACCTGAATTAGTTTAATTTTAGTGAAAATTTAATAATTTCAACATGAGCAATACTGTGGATCCACGTCGCAAGGAGAAAATCAATCGCTACAAGGCGCCCAAGAACCAGGGCCAAGGCGGCGGCGCCAACGAGGACATGATGCCCGACTACATGAACATTTTGGGAATGATTTTCTCAATGTGCGGACTGATGATGAAGGTGAGCCCGATATGTGACCCGGTGGACGTATCAGTGACATGCAACCGCTTCTCTTACAGCTGAAATGGTGCGCCTGGTTCGCCCTGTACTGCTCCTGCATAAGCTTTGCCAGCTCCAAGGCCAGCGACGATGCCAAGCAAGTGCTTTCCTCCTTCATGCTGAGCGTCAGCGCAGTGGTCATGTCCTATCTGCAAAACCCTGCTGCCATGACTCCCCCGTGGGCCTCGTAGCAGTAAGAGGCCCAGCCAAACCAATGCATTTTCTGTTCTAGTTTAAATAAATGTGAATTTTTATTGCGATCCAAGAGGGGACAAAGAAATATACTATAATTTTTGCACTTTAAATAATTTAAGAATGAAATAAAACATGGTGTAAAATTTAGCTAAAAGCAGTGGGGAGCACCATCGCCAGGGCTTAGGCTCACATTGGGGCACGGATCAGGTCGGATCGGTACGGTTTGGATCATTAGGTAGTGAGTAGGTAGTAGGCAAAAAGAATAAAGGCTAAAATATAAATGGTGCCGAAAATCAGGACGTATTAAATCTCTCCAAAGTTCGTGTGTCCAGTCGACTTGGCGTGTTCCTGGGCCTGCACCTGGCCCACCAGCATCACATCGCAGTCCATGCAGCGCAACGTGAACTTGTCCACGTTGGTGAACTGTCGCGAGGACTTGGCCTCGTTGGCTATTTGCTCGGCCTGCTGGTAGACGCCCATCTCCTCCACTGGAAAAATGGTGGCCGGAACCGAGTTCTGCAGCGTCTCCATGTACAAGGGATCGTAGTGGATGCCGTCGAAGAGCAGGAAGACGCGGAGTCCAAAGTTTTTGTCCTCCCCAAAGCGGTTGATGATGGCATTCTGAATGTCCACCACATCGATCTCGATGCCGTAGTAGTTGGAGAGTATGGAGACTTCAATGGCACCGCCCCACGAGTCGGCCTTCTGTATCCAGGCGCAGTATTCCGCATTTGACTTGCCCAGCACGGCGTCGCTGTACTGCGTGGTGTCGGCGGACACCTCCTGCGCTATGATGTGCCGCATCATTTCGCTGCCCTCGTTGTCCACCTTGCCGTTCAGGACGAAGCGAATGCTCGTGAAGAGGCATGAATTATCCGCCGGCACCACCTTTTTCAGTAGAATGCCATTAAAGTTGCCGTTCGGCCCAGACTCCTCGGGTGGAATCACGGGTTCCAGTGCTTGGACGACATTTAAAGCGTTTGTCTCGACGCTACCGCTCGACACCTGACGCAGATGCTCCGCATCCTCTTCGGCCTGCAGACGACGCGCCAGCGCCTCGTCATCCTCCAGAGTTGAACTGCCACTAGTAGTAGCAGTGGCAGTGGCAGTGACAGTAGCAGGGGCAGGGGCAGCAGCACCAGCCTTCTCCTCCACAATCAAGGTCTCACCGCTGTTGATGCCCACAGTCTTGAGGTTCTGGTTTTCCTGATTTTCAGAGAGGTCCAATGGTTTGGGTGGATAGCCGACCAGTACGTGCAGCTGCGGCTCCTGTATGGCCGTCGCCTGGGCTATTCTCGTCTTCAGCTCCCCAAGCGTCGTATTCTGGTTCAAGTCATTGACAATGAATTGACCTTTTTTCGATTTTAGCTTCACACTGAACGACGACCCAGTCATTTCGCTGCTTTGCTCGGCTTTTAACACAGACGTACGGAGGATAGATTTAATTTTATTTTGTACAATTTGGGCTATTTTTATGTGCTGGATTGACTTGAATTTATAAGTTATATATTATATTGTCTAATTTACGTATTTTTTCCTTCTTTTTTGTTTGTATTTTCGGTATTTTTCTTTCTTTTTTATTTTCGGTATTTTATGCCCATTCACAATATACGAAAATGCACTAAAACATCCCTGAGGGCGCGTAAATTCAAAAATTGTTATGTCAAATGTTGAGATTTTACTCAAATCATTTGAGAGATTATTTGTCTATCTAGTGCTACTTGGTTGAGCCGCTAATTAGAGTTTAGCAGAGTATCGAAGAGTTCGCAGCTAATGGCCTACACAAACAGACCAATCCAGAACCAAGGAAGTGCCAACAAATTGGGGAAACAGCCGCATAGAGACGTCAAGTCAAGTAAACAAATGGTCCAAACACTCGAATGATACTTTAAAGTTGAAACCCAACAATGGAACCAACCACAAAATGAATTATGTCGTTCGGTCTGGGCTTTTGTTATTGCCGCAGATGCGTGGTACACTTAAATCACATTTAATAGTCCAAACAAATTGATTGCCCGCGCTCCTCTCCACTATCCACTCTCCACTCCGATTTAAGTATGAAATCTTCGGGTCGCCACCGCCGCCGCCGCCGTGTTGTTTTAATTTCTATGAAAGACGACCGGGCTGTACCGGGCTGGGCCGGCGAGCGACCGACCGACTATAAATAGATGGGCAGCGGGGTCTGGTGTTCAGTGCAAGCAGGCCTGTCTGTCAACGACATCGATCAATCCCAGCTCCAGCTCCAGCCCCAAGCAACCGCAGTCAACAAACATGAAGTTCTTGATCCTGGTGCGTCTCCCAACCCACACGAAACTGGATAATCATTGACTCATTCCCTCCCTGTTCATCCACTAACCACGGACTACCTTTTATTTACAGAGCGTGTTCCTTTGCCTGGTCGTGTGCTTCATGGCCACCAGTGCGGTGCCCATCGAGGAGTCCATCCCCGAAGGTCTCGAGGGCCCTGGCAGCGACACCTTCAACCCCTCCGACGATCAGTCATTCCTGCTCAAGCTGAAGCTGCTCAAGAAGCTCCTGTTCTTGGGCTAAGGGAGGAATCCCTCCTGCCCCATCTGCCCATGGATTTTTAGTTTAACTTTGTGTCTAAGTTTTTTAAGAACAAATTTACAAAAAATTAAAACAAATGAAATTATTTTATAATGAAATCTCATTGTGTGTTCTATTTGCCGTTGATGGTGCGAGAGTCAAGAGAAGAATCAAGTTTGTTTCTTCAGTCATTTGTTTGTCAAGAAATTAAGACTAGCAGAGAAAATATAAAGTTACGGAGGAGTCTGAACAGATCCAACGAATCTTAAGAAGAACTTCTGCTCTTTCTTTGAGAGACTTCCTAAGAGACCCAAGCCATGTGTTCAGTTCAAAAATGCTTTGGTTTAAGTCGTTATTTATCCTTGAACGGCAAAAGAAAACTGCCCAATAATGATTTTCATATTAAGCTGAACATTAAATCATTTAAAGGAAACTACACAGAGGGGCACCAACCGCTGCCCTGATTTATAGATCCCAAACCATTTAAAGTAGAACTGCTTCCTGTTGTCTGGTTTTATACAAAACAAAAACTAAAAAGCCCAAAAAAGACAACAAAGGAATTTCCCCTGTTAAAGGGCGATCAATGAATCATTTAAAATTGCTGCACCCCTTTAAAGATCACAACCAGCCATAAGCCAGAGAAGATCCTGTTCGGGTTGCCCCACCAGAAACGTGTTTCATAGCTCCATTTTTAGGACAGAAATTACCACAAAGATGACATTTTGTTGTATGAAAAGTACATTTATTTTAGTTACGATTACGTATAACTCTACTCGTATGCATGTGAGTGGTGTGGTGTGGTGTGGTGTATGGGATATTATGGAATTATCTAGGTAAAACGGGTTGAACGTTGTTGAGTGCATATGGCACTCCCAGCTTGTTGTTGTGGATTGAATGTGGTTGGAGGTTTGTTGTATGGACTAGAATCGGAGCTGATCTCTGCCGAGTGATATATGGCACAGACATTCCTAGCCCTTCCTAACCCAACAGTTTCTTCAGCTTGAGCAGCTTCTTCAGCTTGAAGATGGCCTGCGGATCCTGGGGACGCTGGACATCATCGAAGGCCGGCTGATAGATATTATCCCCGATCAGGGACTCATCCACGGGCACTGCATACACCAGAGCAAGGGCCACCAGGCACACAAACAGGGTCTAAAGTGGGGGAAATATGTTATCCATTAATATCTTGGTGCACTCCTCCAAGTCTGAGTCCCAGTCTTACCAAGGCGAGGTACTTCATGATTGTTGTCTTGGGTAGATGTTGCGCTGGTTAATCCCACAAATTGACTGCAACTGGTAGCTTCTGTGGCCTGTGGCTTTTATAGCCCCCCAAACAGTGGCTCGAGGGAGACGAGACCGAGACCCAATCGATGATAATGTCGTATGTAAACTGCAGACTGCAGTGTGGAAGTGGACAAATGAGCGATACATAAACAAAACAAAGACAGCCACAAAACAAAACAAAAAATATTAAACCAAAAAAAAACTGGCCAAAAACTGCAGGCTGGTGGCCAAGAGGAGACACAGAGGGACAAGGGGGGCAAGGCCCTGTTGGGCAGGTGTCGTCGAGTCTCTGTGCAAATCAGGCATATACCCACATATACTCGTATTTAAACAGCAAAACTAAACCAACAACTAAAAGCCCCAAACCAAAGCGACGCCTTGTTGACTTCTTCTGTTTATCAGAGAGCGGTGGGGAAGGCGATGGCTGGGTGTCTTGTGAGCCACTGAAGAAGTTGATCGATTCGCTGATTAAATACTGAGTAATACCAAAGTGTGTGTAAATGGAAAAAGCTGCACAATTCAAGGCCACTTCGGAAGTTGGTCAGGCAGGAAGATCACAGAGATCTGAAAAGATTCCACGCATCTAGTTATCACTATTATAAGCTCCCCTCTAATCAGATCTTAAACACTTTAACACCTGCCAGTTCAAGTACGATATTGCGGATATTGTATACCTTTCCATGCCTCTGTGGTCTGTCCTCTATCCATCTGATTGATCAATGGTCAAGCCAATTAAATCAAATGATTGCCAGAGAGAATGGGATCCATAAATATTTGACACTTCTAATAGCCATCGAACGTGAAGATCACTAAATCAATAAAACCAAACCAAATCAAATGCAAAGTAAACGTTCGACTTTTGGGCTGGTGCTGGGGCTAGGGCTGGGGCTGTGGCTGGCCTCCGCATTTGTGCCCAGTCATTGTGGAATCGTCATTCATGACGATGAGATCGCAGCTTATCCGCGCATTAAGAAAAACCGGAAACCAGCATTTGAACAGCAGCAGCAGCAGCTGGTCTAGATATGTCAATTTAATAGATATGGATTTTGAGAATCAACAGATGGATGGCTAGAGGCCCCCCCACACATACAGCAGTTGTCACACATTTCAAAAATTTTTATAAATATCAGATGCATATATGTGATATCTAATATCAGCAGTGCAACAATGGCTCATTGTCATCTATCTGCATCTGTAGCTGTCGTCGAGCGGTTTATTTCTAAGCTTTTTGTTTCCCATGCCCCTGGGGAATTCAATTAAATTGGCATGGGCCTGACTCTGGACCGACTCTGCACGTGTGTGAGATGTGTCAGTTCGTTTAAACAGTTTCGGTGATGGCAATAAATTTGATTTCGCACAGAAAAGATGATGAAAGAAAGATAGTAAAAAGTTGCGACAGGTCTAAAGGGTGGAGCCAATAATAAATGAATTGGCCGAATGTGTAAACAAAAAGGTGAAACTTATTCATAGTCATTCGAGCCACTATCTGAAACATCTGTTGTCTGCTCCTGCTGAGGCTCTTCCCTGGGAGGCTCTTCTTTCGAAGGCTCCGTCTGCTGGGCCACTTCCTTCCTGCTATTCAGATCTGTTTTCGCTACATAGCCCGGTGGCGTCTTCATACTAAACTTGATTCTGCAGGTTACCAGTTTGATGACCTCCTCGTAGACCTGCACCAGTTCCAGCATTGCCAGATATCGGCCGTCGGGCACGCGAAAGGAAAAAAACTTCACATCAATGGCACTGCTGGCCACGTAGTAGAATCCTGGCACCAAGGGACACGATATTAAGAAGGTGGACGGCAGCAGACTCTCCCCTTGGCCATGGGCCGTGGTTATATTCCGCAGTGAGTCGAGCATCTTGCACAGATCCCTGTTCTTAAAGCGCACCAAATCTTTGAAGTCCGAGCCCCCCGGCGTATCGGAGAGCTTTCTGACAAAGATATGCATCAGCAGTTTGCCGGGAATGGGCACTTTTATGGTCAGATTGAAGTTGATGGCCTCCAGGTGATCGATGCTGGTGTTCACGTGGATCTCATTGGGCACAAAAGACTTCACATGTAACTTGTCTATTTGCAGATAGAGCTGGGAATCGATGGACCACTATAGTATACATATCTCTGATGGTAGGGCTTAGGTTTGATGGGAGGAGACTCACGCAGGAGGCTTGTGCTGCTATGCAAATGATGCCCAAGGTCAGACTTTGCAGAGGTCCCATGGCTAATGGCTGGTTAATGGTGTTCAGCGGATCAATCGGAACTAACCGCCCCGCAATTCGGTGACATTTGCGAATTGCGAAATTGGCCTCGTTTGGGGGTCTATTTAGTCAGGCCACGTTGAGCTAACTAATGGGTTATTTTTCGGTTGGATTCTTATCAAACATGAACCCAACAATGATTGGCATACTATATGAGGGCGCACAGAGCTGTCGTATGCGTGGATATGATCACACACTATTTAACAGTTTTCGATGTTTAACAACATGTAAATTAGTGCCAACATGGATCGTAACGACTCCACTCCAAAGCCTGAAACCAGTGGGCCAGTGCAGGCAGCGGAACTGATGAACTTGAACCAAAAAAAAATAACAGCAAAGTTTGCCCTGCCCTGTAAACGGACATAAATTGTACCGTTTTCCCCGCCACCGCTGCTGCTGCCCGGCGTGACCCAAAAGTTGAAAAGCAAACCGAACAAAAGTCTCAGATAAATCATCCCAAACGGAAAATATATGTACATTGTACATTCATACATATTTATGTATGCCAGTGGAACATAAATTCAAGCATTTTTATTGCAATTTGCTTGTTTGTACCAAAAACAAGTGCAAACAACGGACCAAAGCAGAAGCAGAAGCAGCGCAAAAGCAACAATCAACAAACGCTGCCTTAAGCCGCAAACTACAGTGAAAGTGACGTAATGCGATGGCACCGCACCGCACCAGCAAGGCAACAACAACAGCAACAAAGTGCAGAGAGAAACAGGGACTGAGAGGGAGAGTGAGAGAGAGCACAAGAAAGTAAAGCTCGTTTCGGTGTGCCGAAGCTTTGATACCCTTGCGCATTGCCTTTTACTACGACAGCTATGGGATAGGTAGATATGATTAATCGCCTCTACAGTTAATGCTTATTAACAATATATGTATATATTTTATATTCTACGATAGGTTTCTTACTCCGCGTGCTAAACTCTAGTCAAAGTCATAATACTCCTCCTCTCACTGTAAAACAAAGAGTAAGAGCGCAAAAAAATGTCAATGTCTTTTACAGCGAAGAAGCAGAGCAGCAGCTGACCCGTAGATAAATGAGGAGCAAGGGAACGGGGAGGTGAATTGGATAAAGCGCAAACAACAGCAGAGCCAGGCAGGCACTGCATAAACGTAAAGGTTGTTGTTTGTGCACGAGAGAGCATTGGCGATGGGATCCGTACTAATGTCGTGACAATGAGAAGTACGGACAGCTAGAAGAAAGGCAGAACAACACAGCAATAGCTAGAATACAGGTAGATCAGACCAATGAATATTACAGATCACCCAACCAAAGGCTCACGCTTTCATCTCAAGGGCCCTGCTGCTGCTGTGGGTTTTCGCGCAACATAAAAATAAAGTTTCACATGCATCGCATCGGATGTCGGCTTACATTTTATTTACTTCTTTTCCTTTGCTGTGCTTCGTTTTCTGTAAACTTTATGCGTTCCACGTTTTTTTTATCGCCTGCATTTACAATTCAATGTCACACCGGACACCGGGCCTTACGTGGCTTTTGTTTCTCTTTTGAAATCGCCAAATTAAACCAAAAGAAGAAGGTGGAGAAGCTGCAACAGATTGTAAGATATTTTGCAGTGTAACCGGTTGGGGCGGACTCGGGACACTCCTCCATTAACGCTTGGCCGCAGACTCAATGCAGTTTCAATGTTAAATTTAGCCTGCAACCTGACCTTGAGACTTCAGCTGCGCCTGCCATTGTCGGTCGGTCGTCTGCTGATGCTGTGGCTGCTGTACAAGTACGAGTTATGTTGTGCCCATCAAGTTTTACGAGTATGAACTTGCTTGGTCGATAATAGTTGTTATTAAACCAAAAACATAATGTAAGTACAAATGGTGTGGTGGAAGGGTGGGGCAAGTGGAGATCATTAATAGTCTAGATTTTTCTCAATGCGATGTCTTTGTTGTTTCGCTTGAAAGAAGCTCGTTTGGAATCCATTGGTTCTCAGCTGAATTTGAGTGCTTGTGAGGTCTTTGTTTGTGTCTTTGTATTCCGAGACAGATTGCTCCATGGCAAATTCTGAGCATCTTTAAATGTAAAACTAACCTTCAGCTAAAGCTAATCTAGGTTTATGGGCTTACATACATATGTATGTATCTTGAAAACGACGTTTAATATTTGTATGGTTTTTTTCAGTGCTCACAGTGTCAGTATTTAAGGCCGTTTATGACGATTTCTTTTATTGATAAGTTCTCTACTTTGAATTCTAAGTTAATGCTGTCTGAAAAGTTCCTCTATAGCTCTGATATTCTTATATTGATTTTGGTTCACGTAATTTTTATTTTCTGCTTTTCGGCTACTGGCAACAGTGGAATGTGTGGAAACTTAATAACTTTGGAGGTTATGCCGATTGTTTATCGATAAGCGTTTCGAATTATGAGCGAGGGCTGCCTCAAAAGTTCTACCATAACTCATAGTTATGTTAATTTACCATAGAAATGACCCTCGACTAACTAGAATCTAGGTTTGTGTGCTTATCATCTGTAGAACAACAACACTTTAGAACATGAGAACATTTTTTTATGACGAATCGTTGACACACAAGCGAGATCGCACCTCACGTTCCGCTGATTTTGAACAGAGATCAATGCTAAGTGATATGTAATTAAAGGGGGGGCAGCAGCAGCGGGTGGGAATTCAAATACATTTTAATCACAGTATTTCTCTGATATTTTGTTGATTTAGCACTTGAGACTTTTGTTTTTACATCCCAGCCGTCCACTCAAGCGATGTTTGTTCATATATATATATATACATATTTATAGAGGTGTACCACCCGATATAGTATAGTAGCAAAAGTGTGGCCATAGATAAAATGCAAATTCCCGTTAATTGAATGCCAAACAAAAGCGCAGTGGCACTGCCAGCAACAACATCGAAAGCCGAGAGAGACAGCGAAAGAGAGCGGGCGATAGTGGGGGCTGTTTGAAAAATCAATTAGCAGCATAAAATGCTTTTTGGGGGGACTGTGGGGATGGCTTAAAGCCGTACCTGGGTTAGTTTTTGTAATAGTCTTTGTTGCTCTTCCACGGGGCTATCACTTGGCTGTTGCCGGTTAAAGCAGAGCAACAGAGAACGGCATAGAGACAGTACAGGGTAAATCTCCTCCAGCCATATCTAGAGAATGGCCAGAAGAGAGAGAGAGAGAAAGCAATGCAAAAGGGCAGGAAAGGGAAGGGAAGGGAGGAAAGTGCAGTGGAAAACCGCAGCTGCTGCTTTAAATTTATGCCAACGCGGCATTAGAAGCATGGCTTGCGGTTAAATGGGTAGAAGATAGACGGGGGCGGGGGTGTATATGGGGTTCAGGCAGGGTGTATAGCCAGCCATATTGGCTAGGTATTGGTAACATGTCTGTGCAGGTCCCCGTCGCTGTGTGGTGGGGGGTGGGGAAATGCAAGAAATCAAGGCTTTAGTTGCGGCGGTCGCAACGAAAAATGGCGAAGCGCTTTATGAATATTTATAACACAATGGAGCATGAAAAAGTTCGTTCAGAGGTAACTGGAGAGTGAGGAATAAGGGGGGTAGGGGTGAATGAATGCATATATGTATGCATTGAGGCGTTGGGCGTGTCCTGGTCCGGGCTCAACCGACTGTTATCGATATCAATGCTAGCAATTGACAGGGACATGGCTGCATAAGAGGATCAAGGGGCCAAAGGAAGAATAAATAAAAGAGGTTCAGAGTTGTAATGGATTAAACGGAGAGAGGAGAGATAGGAGGTTTGATTAATATCCATTTACTAATTAGTTTAGCTTACCCATTTTCCCCTCTGCCAAACACGCCTCTGTCTTGCACATCTCCTCCAAAAAGCTGCTCGCGACTTACAATGCAAATGAAAATGCCAAAAGCAGGAAAAGTGCTACCCCTCCCATGCACTGCTCCTGCTGCTGCATCAGCTTCCTGTGCATTCATCCTCGCACTTAGATTGCCAATAAATTAATACTTGAACAGAATCCCATTCGCAGTACGAGCGAGTGCTTCGGCAAGGGGGAAATAAGACTGACATACATTTCGTAAAAATATTTAATTTTGCAAAAATGCCAATCGAACTAAGCATCAGCACATCGCCACCCCCACGCACACTTGCAACCCAAAACTTATCTCCATTTCCACACTTCGGCGCTTAATATTGCGCATACGCAGTGTTTTCCATACTCTACCCGCTGCCACTCCTTCAACTATTAATCGAATTGCAATAAAAAGAAATGGCTGCCAGCAGCGAAAACTTTTAAATTAAAAAACTGTACCAAAAATTATGAAATTTTCAATTTCAATTCAACTATTGATTGTTCAAGTGCGGGTGGAGGGGTCCAGTCCATAGATTCGGTGCCTTGTCCGGAGCACGTGCGCGGCGCCATCTAGCGGTCGTTGCATGCAAATTGCCAAATCAGTGCGTGACTTGCAAAAATACAAAAAACTAAAAAAAAATATATCTAAAAACCCCGACAGTAATGCAAACTGTTAGCTATGACAAAGCAAACTTAACTAGCGGTTATTTAGTTGATTTTTTGTGCGTACAAAAATTTGGGGTAGAAGTGGCAAGTGGCACGCGGCACGCACGTGTAACACCTTACAAAAGAGTGATAAAAACTGACCCAATCTCTGGGCTTTTCAAGTTAACAGAATGCCCAAAGCTAATGGTTATATCATTTGCCATGCCACCGCCCCCGCCCCCACCCAAGTCCCCGCCTTTGCGTAATGTGTGTCCAGCCATTCATGACTTCGTTTAATGGCCCTCAAGCAGCATCTCTTTCGCAGTGCTTTCTGTGTCTGTTTCTGCTTTGGCTTCGTTCATTTTTCCCTCGTTTTTGTTGCCAATTTGAGCAACTGTCAAAGTCAAAGACCAACAGAAGAGCACAGTTACGTTACCATTCGGGATCGAAGCATTTGATACTCTTGCTTGCTAAACAGGTAGAGCATAGGTAATTGGCAATGGCATATGCATTGCATTAGTAAA